CAAGAAATAAACAGATATACTCAAAACAAGTAACTTTTAACCGTAACAAAAAAACACTGACATTCAGGTTTACATAAACTGATTCCAAAACTAGGAGATGATACTTCGTGTCTTAACTGCTGGTATTATATAACATTGCACACATTGCACATCACATGAACACAGGTATGTATAAACAACAACCAATGACAACTACCATCTCTTCAGCTCGAATTAAAATGCATTCAAACAAGTAACTTTTAACCACAATAAAAAAGCACTGACATGCAAGGTTTACATAAACTGATTCTACAACTAGGAGTTGATACTTTATGTCATAAGGGTTATACCATTTCCCCAGAACAGATTGTATTAATATAGCGTTGCACATATCACATGTACAAAGGTATGAACAACTAGCAATGACAACTACCATCTCTGCAGCTTGAATTAAAAGTGTTACCTGCTCTGCTGGTCTGCTTAAAGCTGGCGGAACAGATGAGTTAGAGGAAATGCCAGAACCTGATAGTATATCTTTAAGTATGCCACTGATCCCAAGCAGAAGTAAAGTTTTTGCTCCCAGAGGAGACCCCCTTGCACATGTTGAAAGAAGTCGAATTAAGCCCTGGATTCAAAAATCCAAATGTCATGATGTTGCACATAAAATGCAGCAGAATATAAATGTCATTATGTTGCACATAAAATGCATTAGGAGCAACATAAATTCACCGTATATGTTGGTGTGCTCAACGATGCCTGTCCACCTCCAGAATTACTTGTGGAAATGAGAGATGCAGCTTGAGTAACAAGTCCATGATTGCACAACTCATCCAATTTATCAGGGGAAGATGCAAAGGCTTCAGCAATGCGGGTCAAACAAACAGAAGCATGCTCCAGCACCTATAAACATAACAGTGTACAAGATCAAGAAGAAACACGATTTACAACTAACAAATCGTCATTAATATGATGTTTAAGTTACCTTTGAATCATGATACTGCAAAAGATTTGTTAATAGTGGCACAGCTTCCATGACGTAATCAGCTGCATCTGAAGGGAGTTTCTTGCACATATTTGCAGCAGTAGATAGTGCCACTCGCTTGAAGATGAGATTAAATAGAAGAAACAAACTCAATAAGACTCTAAGTGGCAAGAAAATTTTCTTCATGCCATAAATCATTAACGCTCAAAAATGTTCACAAATCAATTACCTGAACCCCAGTGGAAAAGAAATCTAGGTATGAAAGAACGGCCATGAGAGCACCAGCTCGCAAACAGGCAGTTGGGTGTTCCTGAGATATCTTCTTCAAAGCTTGCAGAGACTGTTTCCAGCATTTCAACCACAAAATAAGAAAGTGGACTAGAGAAAATCCAAAATTTTTAACTTTCTATTTCAATTCTAAAGTTATGAACAATGTAGTATATCATTTGGTATGAGCAAATCTCACAACAATGAATTTTTAGTGGTTAGTTAAAACAAGCAAATTTACTTAACATAGGCTGTCAGGAAAAAGATTAATCAACTATCTCAAATTGATCTCCATTCATTGCAATTGGAATCAAATTCTAATAAAAATAGCTTGTTGCACTTTAGTTTACAAATTAAATGCTATATGTCATTGAATCAACTAAGGATGTTCCCGTTTAATCACACATTCAAGTACCATCACTTTCTAATAATCTATTATTTTGAATATAACCAAAATAAAAACCAACCTGTTCAGCCAAGTCCATATACTCTATAGTGAGCAACCTAGCACAAAAACACGAAACTGCACCATAATGCACCACAGCAGCACACGAAGAAGGCAACACATCGCACAAATGAGTAAGAGCCCTTGCCGCAAGAAGCATAATATCAGGATTACTCTCATGGTTAAGCAATCCAACGAGCACAGGAACAAAAGAATCCACAGAAAACGTGCCCAAAGACTCCTCAGTCCCAATTGAAAGCATCTCGCACAGCTGCGTCAACGCCTCCACTTGCCTACCTTCCTCTCCATCAGCACGCAACCCAGAAAGAATCTTCTTCAACATCCCGCTTTGATGAGATGAAGACGCGGAACCCATAGCCGATGAGGGAAGCAAATCATCAAGCCCGGCACCAAGCGTCCTCAACAAGCCTTGTAAAGCGCTGCTTGCTGACGTCGGATTCGGGGGGGAAATCCCTACACCGCCTTCACTATCATTATCATCCTCATCACCTCCGGAGGTATCCATATTTAACCGTAAATTTCTCTCAGGATGATTAGAATTGTTGTTATCTCTATTATCCCTATCTCTATCGCGAATCCTTAGATCATGCTCCTTTTCTTTGCCTTTATCGGAGGCGAGATTCGTACTGTCACTTGTTGTTTGGTTAGCTTTGCTGGAACGGCGATCGCGACGCGAACCGCCGGAAGAAGATTCGGTTGTGGTGGGGTCCATTAAGGCAGTGGCAGCGCGCGAAGTGCGAGAGCGAGTCGTGGTGGTAGTAGTGGCGGCGGCGGCAGAGGAGGAAGAGATACGAGCGCGTTTGTGAGAGCGAGTAGTTGGACCCGAGGGAGAAGATGAAGGGGCAGCTGAGGAGGCCTCCGCCCGCTTCCGGCTCCGAGTTTCCATACAAAGGGGACCACCGCCCCTGGTTATCGGACGGTCACCACGACAAGATCAGACGATTCCTGATCCGATTATTCGTTGCATCTCAACAAAACCTGATCGAAACCCTAGAAAAATGAAAACAACGAAATTCACGCGAAGGATTAGTGAAACCCTAGAATTAACAATCAGGGAAACAATGACTTTGTCTTGGTTTTAACAATATTGAAATTCGATGATTAATTGGGGAAACATGGTGTAGGAGAGGTGGTAGAGGTTAAGACAGAAACCTGAAACCCTAAAGTGAAGAAGGAATAAAGAAGAAGAGGAGGTTTTTAGATTTTGTATTTTTTATATTATCATATATATATTCATCAGTAAATACTTTCAAAAAGATATTTTTTTCTTTTTGGGTGGTCTTTATACAGTAATTTAAAAAAAAGAATATATATTTTTAGGAAAAGAGAGAGAGAGAGAGAGAGAGAGAGGGAGAGAGAATATTTAAAAGGAGCTTCCCTGGCGGTGAATTTTCTCCGCTTGGACCGTCTTTATCGGGAAAATGATAAATTATTTTCGAGGTGTTGTTTCATTAACAATTTCTTTAGGTTAATATCAAAAATAATTTTTAAATTATAATGATATTAAATATAATATTTCTATTTTAAAATTTTTAATTAAATTATAAGTAAGTATGTGATATTCATAATTAATTTTAAATAATGATAAGTAACTAATAAATAATTTTTAAAATATTATATAAATTAATAAAGTATATATTACATTAAAAAATTTTAATATTCAAATATCATATTAATTATTTTATTATTATTTAAAAACTATTGATGATATTATTTTTATTTTTATTATAATCTTACATTTATATTACATTTAAATATTTACAAAAATTTTATATAAAATTTTAAAATTTAATTAATTTATTACAAATAATGTTACCTTTATCATTCTTGGGATGGGCAATCTAACAACTCTTGGTATAACCGCTTGGTTATGGTCTTATTTTGTGGCAGAGTAACGTCATACGTGGTAAAAATTTCAGTCCTGAAAGAGGAAGAACGAGGCACGACTCTGAGCAATCAATTAAAAAGTAATTAAATTATAATTAAACTAAGATGGTATAGTCAAACAAGTTACCTGGCCCTTTTACTGCTGACATCAACAAGGGAACTTCATTTCAAAAACACAACAGACAATGAAATAATGCATTAAAAACATTTTTTTTATATATAGTGTTTGGAATTATTGCATGGTTTTGAATGTTATTTGCTTCACTTACATACCAAATTTGTAAGGTCTTGTTTAATTGAGGTGGGAACGAATTTTTGGTTGGAAAGCTTTCTTTCTATCACAATCTCAATATTAAAACAAAAAAAAAATTTAATTTTGAAATAAAATAAATGCAAATTTTATTCAGAAACGTGTTTGTCATTAATGTCTGGATAAACATTAATTAAAAAAAAAGATATTTTAGAGGAAAGAAATATATATTAAAAGATATTGCTGTTTGGTAGTTAAGATTTAGGTTTTACTCAAATGATAGTGAATGGATGAGTGTACTAACATTTGAAGCGTTTTTTCTCCTCGTTCTTCTCATGTATTTTCCTGATTATTTTGTTTGTTATGTAAGGAGAAAACAAATAAAATGTTCGATCTGAAAGGAAAGAAATGGAGAAAATAATTACCCGAGTTCTGTTTTTGACGTTCTATTTGAATGCATGCTATGAAAAAGTTATTTTTTGGGTAACAATAATAACGTATTAAAGATATATTCGTGCATTATTATGTGTTAAATTTTTTATTTGCAATTAATTATGTGTTTGATGAATTTAATAAATTAATAAATATAATTTTATTTATAATTTTTAATTAAAAATAATAATCAATAAAAAATTATCAATAAATTTTTATGTAATATATGCATGTCATTCTCACACCTTATATCAATAAATTAAATTCAAATTTATTTTTTAAAAAAATTTTTAGACATAATTAAAAAAAATGGAGCTCACGAAAAAATTAAAAAAAAATTTTTTAATCAATAATGTTAACTTAATTTCACCTTAAAATTAAAAAAAAATATTTATTATAAATGAAAAGAATAAAATAAATAAAATAAAAAAATGTAAAATTGATGAGACAGGTTGGGTCCAAAATTCAAGACGACGAAAATTTATTGTAGGGATGGACTTGAAGTTTTGAGGATTTGAGTTTAAGGCCATCACAGAAATACTTATCAGATCAAGGGTTAAAAATTTGAGGCCCACAAAATCATAATGCGTTTTCCTCATGCAGGCTTTGGGCTGAGATTGGCATGGCGGATAGAGTCATAACGCGTAACCAGCAGTCTCAGTCTCCCAAACCAAACTCCGAACCACATCTAAACCCCGTTTCATTGGCTTATCTTCGTTTTTCCAAATCCCAAAAATAAAGTAAACAGATAAAAATAGAAACCCCCTCGCAATTCACGGTTTTAAGTTGCGAGTCTTGACCACTACCTCAAATTCCACACGAAAGCCTAACAGTATCAGTTGATACTCTGAAAATACAGAGAGAGAGAGTAAGATTTCAATGGCGTTTCCAGTAGTCGACACCGAGTACCTTAAGGAGATAGACAAAGCTCGTCGCGACCTTCGCGCTCTCATTGCCTTGAAGAATTGCGCTCCCATCATGCTTCGCTTAGCGTATTTCTTCTTCTTCTTCTTCTTCTTCTTCTTTGTTTGTTTCTTTGTAGGAAAGACGCAAGAAATATAATGAGAAGAAAATCGAATTTTGTACTAATAATTAAGAAAGAACAATTACATCTAAAAATAGAGGCAATGGAAATATTGTTACTTATTAGTATTTCCATTTTCTTGAAGATGGCACGATGCAGGGACGTACGATGTCAGCACCAAGACCGGTGGACCAAATGGATCCATAAGGAATGAAGAGGAGTACACTCATGGCTCCAATAGCGGCTTGAAAATCGCTATTGATTTTTGTGGTCAGATTCTAATTCTTTTTTTTTCTTTTGGTCAGAAATTTCTTAGTTCTTTAATCTAAGACATAGGCTAATGATTATAATTTTGAAGGAATGAGAAAATCGAGTAACATTGCTGCGGCTTCAAGTTCATTCATGTTGATAGAGAGATTTCGGAATCTGGAATGCTGAAATTATTGTTAATATTTCCCTCACTAGAAAGGGGGTTCTTTTTTCCTTGTTTAAAGGTAGAAATCTCTTAAGGTGGAAGCAGGAATGGTGATTATGTTAGTGAGTGGTGTTGACGTAGGTTTAATAACAGAATTACTTGCTTAAAATCTCACATGTGGCCATGACATGATTGTTAGACAGGGAGTATGGAAGATCATGGCAATGTAATTTGTGTGCTTGTTTTGTGAAAATGGAAGCTGTTATAGGCTCAATGTGATTGGGGTGATCTTTTTTTGATCTTAGCAGATAAGGTTGAACTCGTGTGGCTCCGATAGGTTTGAGCCATTGAAGTTTAGTTGGTATATTTTTGGTTGCCTTGGTTGGCAAAGAGCCATCTCTTCTAAGGTGAAATTCTATTGTCTGACAGTTTCTATTGTCTGATAGTAAGTTGTCTCCTCCATTAGAAGAAGTTTGGTGGTAGAAATATGTCAATCACAATTCATTGGTGAAAATTTTATTCCAGCTTCTATCCAAATCTGAATTGCTAACAAGTAAAATATATATTACTACATTTTTGTGTTTTCATGCATGTAATATATCTTCATATTGTATCGTATGTTAGTTTATGTTAGAATATACATCTATAAACTAAAACATGTTTTTATTTATTTATTTATTTATGTTAGAATATACATCTATAAACTAAAACATATTTTTATTTATTTATTTATTTTGACTAAAGGATTTTCTTTGACACATTTCAGAGGAAGTGAAGGTTAAACATCCCAAGATCACATATGCAGACCTATACCAGGTGGTTATGGAGTTGAAAGAGTTAGCATGCATTTTATTTGAGCTTTAATTGCATCATTGGGGAATAAAAAAGTATACAGTCTATTCTATTTGATTTTAACAAAAGAATTGTGAGATGAGGAAATTAAAAGACAGACCTGTAGCATTAAGAAGTCATGATGATGTTGCTTGAGAAAGTTCTTAAACATTTTTCTAAATGTTTGCCTTTTAAAGGATATTATTACATGCTTCCTGTAACTGGACTTATACGAAAAGGGGCTCTGTTTCTGTTGTGCTATGAGCACGTTGAGGAAATAAAGAAACATCTACATGCTGATTAGATCTGAAAACTGAATCTAAAATCCTTGCTGGAGTTTGATTCAAAGGTTTATATTTTAGATTCCTCAGAGGAAGGATTATTTAATTAATTAGATTGTCTCTATAATACAGTACGGGGCTAATTCACTATAATATGAAATTAATATTTAGCTACGTTAAACAATTGGCCTAATACAATTGAGATTATGAAAGATCTTGGACAGACACTGAGATGTTACTGGGACTTAAAAAGAGAGAACAAGCTACTAATTCCAATATGGTGTTAAAACAGGAAAAAAAGTTATATATTCGGTTAAATTTGTGAGTTGTAGAATAATAGATAGAAGCATTGAAACCGAAACTGCATATGAAATTTCTTGAGAGGTGTCGTAGATTTTGAGAATATTTGTTGCACTTACTGAAGCAACTCTCTGCTTCATAATGGAATGTCTTCACATCCCACACTACACAAATGACTGCAGTTAGATTGAATCCAAAGTTGTTGACTATGTGATGGATGATGAATGATCCATAATTGTATTGTTTCATTTTCAGCTTGCAGGAGTTGTTGCTGTTGAAGTCACTGGAGGTCCCACTATTGATTTTGTACCAGGAAGAAAGGTATGTTACAGTTGCTTATTCCTTCATATGTGGTTTGTTTCCTGTTCAACTCATTTGATTAACTGTGTTTTGTTTAATAGGATTCGAACATTTGTCCCAAGGAAGGGCGACTTCCAAATGCTAAAAAAGGTAACAGAGATTTCTGAAGTGATTTTTGAAACCAAAAATTTGAGTTGCTGATTTCCACACACTGGGAACTTTAAATTCTGAGTAATTGGGCACTTCTTTTTTTGGCCAATAGTAATTCGGCACTTTGAATATTTGTACATTTTGATATTTAGACAATCTATCTAGTTATCTGGTCATATCTTTTGCTACATTTAGTATTCTTTTGTTATCTCTTTCCTTAAACTAGATGATGAGATAGAACTAAAGGCACTTGGAAGATCAATATTGCCTACAATTCTCTTTACTACAATACTAAAATTAGCCAATCACAACCAAGAATTACATAGGGGTCCACTACTTAAAAGTCTAGGATCTACATAATTTTTTTATGGACCCCACACAATGTTGAATTATGATTAGTTAATTGTACTACAGTAATTGTAGGTGATATACTCCACCATCTGGAACCATGCTACAATTTTCTAATGGCTTATAGTTGTGTGACCTCAGTGCTTCTTATGTTCTCTTTTTTATGCTGTTCTAGTGATCTAAGTATGAGCTTCATAGAATATATTATGATCATAGTGTTGTTATTACCAGTTTGATAGAAAGTCATGTATTCTAATCATTTATTGCCGTTAGTTGATCGGAGTAAAAGTGCTCTTGAAGAATGTTTAGTTTGGCTGGAGAATAGGCTACTCTTAACAGATGTCCCTGTTCCACCTATTTCTTTATCGCAGCTTGGATCTTGCTCTATATATTATGGTAGAGTGGCAAATAGATGTCTGGATTGGGATTGTTGACTAGAGGTTCATCACTCTCTTTTGGCGGTTTTAGACTCCACTAAGCGAAACAAGTCCACAAGTTTGTGCCGTGATTTTTCTGTTAAGTTTGGCTCTCTAGAGTTAGGTATACCAGATGTCTTCATAACAGCAGCAAGCTGTCCCCTAAGAGCCTCTTCTTTACTTGTCAGGTGACACCAAATAGATTAGTTAGCAATAGTTATATCTGATTAGTATCCTATACAAGAGAGATTGGCTTGGTACTTATATCCATGAAATTTTGTTCATTGACCAATCAATCTGTTGGTTTTAGAAACTACTATAGACAACTTCCACAAACTTTTGTTTTCTATTCCCTTGGTAATGTTCTGCAGTAATAATGGTAAAGTGGTAATCAATTGTTCCACCTAATAAGGTATTGGTGGAAACTGAACTACAATTAGTTAATCCATTAGTTCAGTGAACAGTGTTTAATATCTTCTTCCATATTTGATCAGCTTAGCCTTACGTTGAAATGCATATATAATCTTACGTTTCTATTTTGTGAAGTTGTGGATGCTAAAGTCTGCATATATTTTGTGAATCCTGGTGCTAGGTGCACCTCATCTGAGGGATATCTTTTATCGAATGGGTCTATCTGACAAGGATATTGTGGCATTATCTGGGGGTCACACTCTGGTACTTTTTCTCACATGTTCTTGTCTATGCCTGGTTTTATGGGTTATAGATTCAACATCAGACTTTTGTGTTGGCTTTGGTGTTACAGGGAAGGGCTCATCCGGAGAGATCAGGTTTTGATGGCCCTTGGACCAATGAACCACTGAAGTTCGATAACTCTTACTTTTTGTAAGTTTAAATCTATGATTGGCAGGCTATTATGTTTGCTTCTTACTCAGAATTTATATGAAGCCATTTACTATTATTGTACCAGGGAGCTGCTAAAAGGGGAATCAGAAGGGCTATTGAAACTTCCAACAGACATGGCTTTGTTGGATGACCCTGAGTTCCGCCGGTATGTAGAGCTCTATGCAAAGGTAATGCTACAACTTGGTGGCTGCAATTTGTCTTACCTGTGCATCATTTCATGAGTCCACTTTGAGACATTTGTCCAATACTTGTATGCATATTTATTTTCCTTGTTACGTTGCGATGTTGCTTAATTTGTAAAGTAATTGCCTGAGTATTTAATACGGTTTTATGTCTGGTTTTGGTAGACCATGTTGTTGGTAGATGTTGATGTTGCTTTTACTTTTTTCTGTTTGGGCCACTTTGCACTGGTATAAGTGTCAGAATCTTACCTAGACCCTATCCTGAAAATCTACTTGAAATAACTAGATTCAGGTTGGACAGGTAATTAATTGTCCTCATCTAACTGAATTCATCCTTGCTTCAAGTGGGTTTGTGCTGTTATAAAGACCCTTTACTTTCCAACATGAGGCCTGCTCGTGCTTCTTTTAAATTATTAATTTGTTGGTAATATGATGTTTCTGCGTGACCCTAGTTTAATATTTATCCGAAATGGGTCAAACACTGGATAGTGCCACCAACTATCAACTATGTTGCAGGAAGCATCTCTTTAGGTGATATAGATCAATCTTGGACTGAGACATTATGTAAATAAATATCTATCCTGCTATGATTCCTGGACTAGTAAATACCTAACACCTGGGTTGGTAAGTGGTTAAATTGATGAAGTTGTTGGTTGGCATACTCCAACGCTCTGTTATGATATTCTCTTTTAATTAAGCTATTATTACCATTCTGTTTCTTTTGAACTAAATCTTTTCATGTGATTTTCCATAGAATTTGGCCAATCTTTTATCTGACACATGATTTTTCATATATTCCTTCCCATATCTGGCATTGGACAGGATGAGGATGCATTCTTCATAGATTATGCAGAATCGCATAAGAAACTTTCAGAACTTGGGTTTACTCCTGCTTCCTCTCGCTCCAAGCTAATTGTAAAGGATAGCACCATATTGGCACAAGGTGCTGTTGGGGTTGCAGTTGCTGCGGCCGTGGTGATCCTAAGCTACTTTTATGAGGTCCGCAAAAGAATGAAGTGAAGCTAGATTATTCGGTCTTTCTGGAACAAAACATGCATTGTCAAGTTATCAATTAGCAAAACTTGGTCCGATCATCTGACTGGCTATGTAGTTGTTGTTTCTCTGGCATCCTACGGGCCATATTCATTGTCATCCAGACATATTTGGTACTATCAGTCAAAGATGAAAATTCAAAACGTTCTGCTCACATTGGAGCAAAATAACAAACATATGGATAATGCTCAGAGGCACTTCAATCCATGGCATTTTTTAATCTGGAAATTGCTCTATTTTCATGTTTTTTTTTTTTTAATGGCGTTGCTTTTCAATGCTCTGAGGTTTTCAACTCTAACTGAGCTACCTCGTTGAAGCTTGGAGGGACAATCCTTAAAACAAAAGATCCCAGCCTCCTCTGGGCTATGCCCCCATGGATACCGCAACCAAAATACATGAAAATAAAGAAAATCTGAGGTAAGGTGTGTGGATTTGGATGTCTGAAACAGACCTTCTGCTAAGGTAGTCCCACATGGCGCGGGGACCCCCTAAAAAGAAAAGAGGTAGGTACGTAACGTAAGGGTCTTCACTCTTCAGCCTCTCTCCTTATTCCTTAGGTCTCGTTCGATACCTAAGCACATGACATACACGTGCTAAGTGCTGGCTGTCATCTGATTACACCTAAATCTTTACCCTCTTTTAGGACCTTAGCATATTACAGAAAGTTGATATAAAACAGTTACTTTATGTCATTTTTATTCAAGTATATAATTATATTATTAAAAAAATAATTATTTATTACATATATAAATATTTATTATTTAATTATCACGTATAATATATAGTAAATGATTTTTTTAAAAATATAATTATATCTTATAATTTAAATAAAAGTGATATATAATGACACGAAATTGCATTCAGCAACTTAGAAGAGTTGTCCAAGTTCGTGGTGTAATCTCCTCTTGCCAGATAAGTTCATGCAGTTAGTTTTTGTAGATAGGACGGATCAGTGGTAGAATAGGAATTTCAAATATTTTCCATCGTTTTGGATTAATCAAGCAACTATATTTTTGGGGCAGTCATGTGGTTGATCAGAAGAAGGCTTGGTTGGGAAAAAGACTCGGTTTAAAAAGCCAACCTAACTGATTGCGATGATGAGCGCCGTCTGATTGAAACGGGTGAGGCACCATCATTTAATGCGTGTAGGTATATGTTTGATCCATCATTTTTAGGCGTAATTGCACATTGACATTTGTTTCTTCTCCCACCATCTTCATCATCCCTTATCACAGGTAAAAAAAAAAAAATCAAAAAATTAAAAAATTAATTCAAAATTATAATGTTAAATTCAATTTAGATTTATTTTTTATTTAATTTGGATTAAGTCTAAATATTAAATACATATTAAATTTTATTAAATTTTGAATAAAAAAATGATCCCAATCGAATTATATATTTTTTTAATTTTTATAAAATAAAATAATAATTTTATATCAAAATTTATTTAAATATATTAAAATAATATATAATAATTAAATAATTAAAAATATATAAATTAAATCAAACTAAATCAATAAAATTTAATTCAGATCATATAAAAATTCAATTTAAATTAATATAAAATTTTAAATTTTTATTACATTATACAATATCCAAAAAAAAAAAAACTCAAATAAATTTGATTCAAATCAAACGATTGTCACCTTTGCTTCCCACTCTCAATTCTTTTTTTCTCTTTTTGTAAGCAGATTTGACGTAAATTCAAGATTAGAAAACCCAAACAAATGGATAGGCCTAGGTGGGTTTTTCATTTCTTGTTAAAAAAAGGGTACGGGAGTCGAGGGAGACGAATAAAATCTTAAATGGTGGTGCGCCCATATAGTTCAACATCAAAGTGAGGCCAGCGTTGGACCGGGTGCAAGGACGATCAGAAAGGTGAAAAGGTAGGTGAAACAAAACACAACACAATACAGATTATTACAATGGTGGACCTCTCCTCTCTCCCCCTGAAAAAGACTTCAGCTCATGGTCCTTAGCTCTTACCATCCATCCACTTGAATTTCATGATGAGAAAGAGAGAGAAAATCTTATGTGTGGTGGTGGTGGTGGGTAACAAACATTAATATGCAAATTGGAGGGAAAGATAGAAGATAACAACAAAAAGGTAAAATGAATCAACCTTTCTTTCATCCCTAACCTTTGCTGCCCCTTTGCCCTTCCCCTTTTGTTGCCTATAGATTGCACCACAAGGTTGGGAAAAAAAAATGGAAAAGTGGAAGGTGAACCAAAACCCACATACAACCACAACCACATTCATATCATATCAATATCATATCATATCATGTATATCTTTTCCTATTCTCCCCTTTTCTTTCATCATCATGTCCTGAAACCCAACCTCCAAGTCTTCTAGAAACCCCCTCTCTCTCTCATCATGCATGATAGTATACCAATAGAATAAAGAACCACAACTACCATCTCTATATTATGATTTATGCACAAGAATAGCCAATCCATTTGGAACATTTTCTTTTCCATATGACCACTACAACTAACTAATATAGCAAATTTTTTACATTTTTCCCTCAAAAAACACTCACATATATTTTATATATATGCTACATATATTTCATATATTTCCATCTTTAACTTTGCTTCAAGTTTTGATTTTTGTGTAAACCAAACAACCCATCATTTATGTATACATATATTAACAAATGTAAACTATCACAATATAAATAGAGAAGCAATTCAAACAAGATTACTTAATTAAATGATTCTTATAGTATTTGAGTCATAGCACTTCCTCTCTATTTCTTTTTCATTTACAAATATACTTTTAGATGCAAATATATAGGCTGATATTTGAGGAAAGCAGATGGAGATTTATACCAAAAACCTCTGCCTATGGATGTTAGTTCCAACAACATCCTAAAAAATACAAGTTGAACATGTATTCTGGTACATGTTGTCTAGTGAGTTGGGGGAAAGATTATGAAAACTAACTAAATTATTAATCTAAAGTATTACAGGTTTAGACAAAGGAAGAAAAACTGAAAAAAAGAGGGGTGGAGGAGCAGAGATCACACTTTGGCCTGCCCATACTTTAATATCTTACTTTACACCTACCAGAGGGTTACCTACAGTTAATATATATCCTAACTTATTATATATTATTGATGCTAATATCATCAAGAGAGAGGCCACCAGCCACTCCCTCAAACCTATCTCACCAACTCACATCTAGAAGCAATATTAGGGTCACTGCCCTCTCTCTCTCTTTCTCTTTCTTTTTCTCTTCTCTCTCTCTCTCTCTCTCTCTCTCTCTCTGTGAGCGTAATAGTCAAAAGGCTATAAAACCGCATGTAAAGTTCCTTCAAGGACCGGCCTCAATATGTTGCAGCAACAAAAAATCCAAGGCCTCCATTCCATTTTCCACCCTCACTGCTACTACTAAATTCTAAAGATATATATATATATATATATATTTTATACTGCTATATACTATTCAAAAACAGCAAACGTAGCTACTAGTACTGCTAGTAATTTCCATAACTTTGGTATTCAAATGGGAAGGTCTCCTTGCTGCGAGAAAGCTCACACAAACAAAGGTGCATGGACCAAAGAAGAAGATGATCGCCTCATCTCTTACATCCGAGCCCATGGTGAAGGTTGCTGGCGTTCACTTCCTAAAGCCGCTGGCCTTCTCCGCTGTGGCAAAAGTTGTAGACTTCGCTGGATCAACTACTTAAGACCTGACCTGAAACGTGGCAATTTCACTGAAGAAGAAGATGAGATCATTATCAAGCTGCACAGCCTTCTTGGTAACAAGTAAGTATCCATATTCAACTTTGGGTGCTGTGTTGTATTTGAAAATATTGATTGGTTTTTGATGAACTTAATTTTTTTGGGGGCTTCTTTTCTAGGTGGTCTCTTATAGCTGGAAGATTACCAGGAAGAACAGATAATGAGATAAAGAATTACTGGAACACACATATAAGAAGGAAGCTATTGAACAGAGGTATTGATCCTGCCACTCACAGGCCACTCAATGAAGCTGCTCAGGATGTAACAACAATATCTTTCAATGGTGCTAAAGAAGAGAAAGAGAAGATTAATGACCCTAGGGGATTTGTCAACAAAGATGAGAAGAAAATCCCAGTTCAAGAAAGGTGTCCAGACTTGAATTTGGACCTCAGAATTAGCCCTCCTTACCATCAAAGCCAGCCTGAGCCATTGAAAACTGGAGGGAGGACCCTTTGTTTTTTTTGCAGTTTGGGAGTAAAAAACAGCAAAGACTGCACTTGCAGCACCGGTACTGGTGGTAGCAGCAGTAGCAACAGCAACAGTGGTTATGATTTCTTAGGCTTGAAAACTGGTTTCTTGGATTATAGAAGTTTGGAAATGAAATGAGAGGGAATTTGGATTTTTTTTTTTTTTTAATTATGTAGCTTCAACAGAAATTGAGAGAAATGACCATGGAGATTGTTATTAGTTTTAAAATCTCTCTAATTTTCTCTCTTTATCTCTTATTTGTATGGTTATCATATCACTATATATATATATATATATATAGTAATAGTACAGGTGATCATTATTGGTGAATGTTTTTGCATTTATATGGGTTGTATACTTTTGGGTTGTATACTTTCTTTTTCTTTACAGTTTGTTTTTACTTCTCTTTTCCAAGAAAAAGTTGTGCTTTATCAGACCTCTATGATCATTGATCAGATCTTCAAAAGGGTCATGCCTCTGGCTTAATTTGGTTTCTCTTTAATCACCAGAGAGGGGAGAGAGAGGGAACCAAGGAGGGAGATTCTTTTCTTATACTTCTTTCAAACACAAATGATGACTCTTTTTCTTTATTTTCCTAACAGGGAATAATAATGAAGGAATTGTAATTCATTTGCATGAACATAAAGAAAGTCCTCTCTCCTTCTCTCAAAAAAAAAAAAAAAATCTTTCAGTAGCATATTCCCACTTTTAAAATTTTCTTTTTCAAAACTATTGAGATGCATGTTGATTCGTATGACAATTTCAGATTTTTTTTTTTTTTTTGGGTTTTGTCTTGTTTTGGGAAAAGGAGTTGATTTTCCATTGGAAGCAATGGATAAGCCGTGAGAGGAGGAGAAATCAAGAAGGATGGGAGTGGTGGGTAGCTCATCTCTTCCACTCCAATAAAAGCTCCAGTCACTAAAACAAAAGGCGTGAAGAAACTAACAACTGTCCGTAGTACCACCCTTCTACCAACCCAACTTTAATCATCTTGGCCATCACATGAGCCCCAACCAACCAAACATGTCAAACCCCCCTCCCCCCGGCCCCTAACTAGCTTTAGCTAGCCTTCCTTTGGTACCCTTATTCCATTTTTGTCTGCTCATCACTTCCACATTATACCATCAATCATCATGCTTAGAATTTATTGTTTTTGGAGGTTGGTTTTTCAGTTCACCAATGAAATTGCTATAAAATATCGGATTAATTAACCAACAAACACGATTAAAAGTGACTCCACATGCTCAACACTAAGTAAAAGCCGTTATATGTTACAATGTTTGACAAATTAGGCATTAAGCCGCCCAATTAATGCGGGACGATGAAGGTTTCAATAATGGCGCAGGCTAGCTAGCCATGAAGAGAAAATGATATAAGAATTGCAGCAGTGATGAGTGTCAACTTGACATGGAAAGTAGGAAATATATTTGTTTATATAATTGATGTGGGAGAGAGAAAGAAAAGAACACGACAAGTGAAAAAATGAAGTTGAAGTTGGTAAAGAGAACATGGCCCGTTGATGAAGCCATGAGGTTCGAATGTTGACTTTATGTAAAGCTATAATCTCATCATTTAAAAAAAAAAAAAAAAAAAAACTATAGAATCAGTTAACCACTAGTTGTTCTAGAAACAATATTTGGTGAAACTCGAAAGAGTGATTAACTTCCTCAAATCAAGTCACAATATCGTGGTTATGATTAAAAAAATATTAACACTACTATATATAATACGATATCAATACCTAATTTTACTTTTGAAAAATATAATCTTTTATATTATAATTTCAATTCTACTATTAAAGACAAAATTATTATTTAATAATTAATGTTATTATCTTTTACGGCAAATTTTAAATAATTATAGTTGATGCTTGATTTAAGGATAAATTCAAGTATTTTAATTTTTTTAGTAGAATTCTTGTTTATTAGTAGTTTTATATGCATATATAAATATAAAATTTTAAATTAAATTTAATTAATTTATATAATCATTCTTAAAATATGATATCTAACGAATTTAAAAATTAAAATTTAATATTTATAATTATTTTTTACTAAAAAAACTTAATACCTAAAATATACCTAGTGGGTCAATGACAATAGTTACTACATTTTTTTAATCCATTGTAATCCTTTGGGATGACCAATGATCTATGGTTTATACACTTATCTTTAGCACTACTTGTTAAGTGTAATTGTGCTCAACATTTTAACTCTTTCATGAACTTGTTTTATCTATTTGTTTTTCCAACCATATTTAGTACTTTGAAATTTTTTATTAACACCTAATGTACACTTGAACAAGTAATTAGAGATCAAATTGAGAATCATAACCCAAAATTGAAATGGAAAAAGCAGCCAAAATTAATCTATGTTCATGTCATTTAAAGTTGTTAAGCTTAGGCTTTCATCAGTATAAATGGGGTAGAAATACCAATTATAAAGTTTGCAATAAAAACTATCTATCATGGATGATGTTGTACCAACCAAATATTAAATCAATTTTTTTTAACAAACATCTAATAAATAATGAAGATGGAAACAAGATAATGTTTCTTTGTTGAATTTTCCATAATAAATAAATAAATCTTTCAAAAATGAAAAAAAAATATATAAACAGTGTAAATTAAAATGAAAGATATTGAACATGGAATTTGGAAAACCCATGACTTTGAAAAGCAATGCCAAAGACAAAAAGATGAAGAAGAATAAAAAAAGACACATGGGTGTTAGCTTGTCTTGAACAAAATCCAAACAACAATGGCCTTTCACATTCATAAAGGAATCACTTTTCCACAATTCAGCACTTTCTTTCTCTTTTATTTTTTTTTTCTTCTTTTTCAAAGGTGTTAGGTAACAACATTGGAAGCTTCCATTGGGATTTTTTTTTTCTTCTCAACCCCTCCCCTTCCTCTTTTCTTCCTCGCTCTTAAAGAAAAATTTGTTCAACAAGTCTTTCACCCAAGTTATTAATAATTATAGCTGCTCTCTCTATCAATAGGGTCATAATTGTTCCATCTTAATTTTTAAATACTTCAACGCCTACCACCATCACATGCATGACTCTTGAGTTGGGACCTTTTGTTTTTTTTTTTCTTATCATACCCAAATCACCCTTCTTTTATCTTTAATTATTAAGCCAATTCCCTTATTTTCCATGTAGACTTCCAATTTTAAATTTCATATAAAAATATTTGTATTTTATAAATATGGACTACTATTTTTTTTAGTTTTAAATTTGATGTAACATTAAAATTGATAAGATTTTAATTATTTATTAAAATGTTACATTAAAAAATAATTATCAAATTCGAATCTAATTTAATTACTTTATATAATTATTTTTAAAAAATAATAATTAATAAATTTATAATTCAATTTTAATATTTGTAATCTTTTCACATATTTTAAAGCTTGATCTCTTTTATATATATATATATATATAAAACTCATTATCATATTTGTTACATTATTTTTACATTGAAGGGTCTATATTATTATATTTTTAATTCTTATAAGTTATTGTTAAAAGCTGAATTAGGTAGTTGATGAGAATAATTGTATTCACTTTTATCATTTCAATATTCAGTACTAAGTTAGTTGATAAATTGGACTCAAGGAACTTAGATTAGGTTAGTTAGCTTTTACAATTTCGATGTAATCATTTTCACCTTTTTGTTTTTCTTTGTAACATTCAAGTAGACCAAATTTGAGTTTCATAAAAATAAAAAAAAAAGGACCAAATTTGATTAAGACAAATACAACAAAATTATTATGTTTTGAAAAAATATTATCATTTTAGGTTAAACACAAATTCAACAATTATAAAACTATAATTAAAAGATTTTTTTTTTTATGATGTGGTAAGTACATGGTGAATTTATGAATGGAAGCAATAAAAGATTCAGCTGCTAAAAGTTGGTAGCACCTGTAAAAGGTAGGTGTGCCTTCCTTAATTTCTTAAGAACTACCTTATTCTTTGAAAGCAACATCTTATTGAATTGAATTTATGAATTTTTTTTTTCATTGTTCCTTGTTCTTCCCTAGTTTCACTTTATCAAATATAGCAATATCAAACTCTTAAAATTAATAGTAAGGTATGTGATTTTTTTTTTGCTTTATCAAGATAAAATATGATAAATTTAATTAAAAATTAAACTCGAACATTTGATTAAAAAAGTGTCAATTACAAAATCGAATCATCTTATAACTTTGTCTAAATCGATTTTCAATTGTTGTCTAATTATGCCAATTATAAATATGATAGTATGCATGCATGTTTTTTGGAGTAAGAAAATCAGTACATATGTAAAGAATATTGATATATGTGATTTATAATTTTTTAAATAGAAAAAAAAATGGGGGGAATGGAAATTGGAATGGCAGGGTTTGTAATTAGGGGGAAAAGGAAGGGGGGAGAGGTAAGAGGGTGGAAAACGTCTGTGCCCCACACGGTACCAACTCCTCTATTTGTGGGTGGTGGTTGGAGTTGGGAAGGCGTCGGACGTAGGCTCATGTGCGCGCTTGCGGCTTTGGGACCCACTCGCAAACCACTTGTGGGCCCTAATCCAACACCCTCCTTCTCTTTCTTATCCCCAGCCGCAGACCCAGCTACCCAACTCCTTGCCTTTCCTTTTTCTTCTCTTTTTCTCCCTCTCCCCTTTTTTTTTTAATATTAATTAATAAAATTGCCTAAATCTATTTATAAATTTGATGGGATTTCAAAAGGGACGACAATCATGTCCGTATCCGACGGGTTCAGTCTGATCCGATCTTATAAGATCAAATTTTTTTTTTAATTTTAATTTTCGAGTCGGATCAGATCGGATATAATTAAAAAATAATCGAAGTTGGGTATGTTTAAAACTCGATCCGACTTGACATTATATAAAAAATTATTTTTAATTAATTATTTAAATATATTTATATAATGATATTTTTAAATATTTATATTTAAAAAATAATATTTATATTTAAAAATAATATTTTATTAATTTCGGATCGGGTACGATTTGTATAGTACCAGATCGAATCGGGTTTTTGTATTAAAAAAAATCGAATAGGATCATATTCGGGTATACTAAAACATAAAGTCGAGTCGGATTCGGGACGAGCAAAACCCGTCTCGAACCCGACCCGATGTTATCCCTAGAATTCAATCATATTTATTTAGAAAACAATTGATAGGACTCCTAAAATTTATTTATTTTTTAAAATAATATAAAATTTAAGATTTAATTTATTTAATTAATGCCATAAAATATAACATTTAACATATTAAAAATTCATATCTCAATTATTTTCATTTTAGTTTTTGAAGTAACTTATTTTTGTGCCTTTAATAGTCTTAATATTATTTATTTCAAAATATTTTTTTAACATGTAAATATTGGTTATAGAATAAAAGTAATATCCTTTATATTTCATAAATTTCGTCTCGTGTACTTTATAATTCGAATTAAAATTCTTTAATACAAAGTTTTTAAAATTTAACAATTGATATGTTTGTTTGGAGTCGGAAAGATAATTATTCAAAAAGATGAAACAATGAATCTTTTCTTTTAAAATGTCAACATATATATGATTTGTTGCTTAAGTTATAAAGTCCTGCCTAAAATCACAATGATCATACTATCAGCTTTGACTTGTTGCATTTGACCCTTTCCATGATGTAAATGTAAATATATATATATATATGACAAAGCAATGTTCAATGTTCTATATATCAATTTGTTTGGCTTCTCATCAAGATTATAGAAATGACCTTGATCTAAAGGAATATTCGTATAAAAAATTATTAAAATAATACATAATTAAATAAATTTAACATGAGATTAAATCAAATTCACATAAAATAAAATTGGAATGTAAGCCTTCTTTTTTTTTTTATTAAATCAAAGTATTGTTAATTATTTATAAATTATAAGTTAGTATTTAATTCTTAGTCTAAGTCAATTAGGGCTATAATTAACATTTTTTTATATTGTTCATATACTAATTCCACGTTCACGTTACGTACAAAATTCAAGGTACTTGATATTAGTAATTTGACACAATTAGGTAGGAATTCACTATCATCAACTATAGAAGAAGCATTTCAAAACTTTGAACTCGTAAGAATAAATTATTTTAATTATAAATTCCTTCAATTATTAGAGCTTTTTAGTTAAAAACCATAAAATCAGCAATCATTTCAACATTGTACGTTGTAAAGGTCAAATATATGAACAGAAATTGAATGCAAGAATGGGTCATTTTACAAAGAACCATGAATAAAATTTTAAATACATTAAATTATAAGAAAAATGGATTAAAATATAATTTTATATTATCGAAATTAAATATTAACTTTAAAATCAATTAATATTATTAATTGAAGAATTCCAATTTAAACCGAAACAATCTAATGATGGGCACGCTACACAGCCGGCTTAAGATAGCAAAATTCTAGTAGGTTAGGTGAGATGCCCGCATATAATGATGACGGAAGATAATAGGAATGAGAAAGAGAGAGAAAAAGAAAAGAAAAGAAATTAAAGACGTGAGAGTGTGTGGCTGAGATGTATAGTGTTGAAATGGTTAGGTGGTAGTCATCCTTTGTCTGAGAGTGACTGATCCCAAAGCACGGCAAATGCAAGGACTCCTTACTCTCTCCTCCTTACAACAACAACATTATGGTCAACCATCTTGTCCTCTTCACAGATATTAGCTAAAAGCTTCACCTTCTTATATAAATTTTTTTTTCTCTTTTTTGCATTAAATTTCTTGGGCCCCCCTCTCATTGAGTTGTGCCCATGCTATTTTCCCACTTTGTTGTCCACATAAATCGCCCTACCTGCCCAACATCTTTCTAACATTATCTACCTAAATCAATGCAAGAGAGACGAGATGGGAGCGTAATCCAGCTAGGGGCATATCCACATTTTTGTGAGCCAAATCCACCAAATCATATTCTTCATTCATAGTTTCCTACCATAGATATTCCTCGGTGTCCTAAACACATGATCAAGATTAATTTATTAACAGTTCATTGAAAGTTTGGGTTAATAAATCTGATCATTTGTACATGTACTTTAAAAACCAATAATATTCGAGATAATTGTAAGACGAACTTTAGGTATAATTCCCTTTCCCTAATCAAACTATTACTAGCAGAGGAACAAATATGGTAGGGCTGCTCACAACTAACAAGGGTTCTAGAAGGAGGCCTATCAATTAGTAGGTTAAAGTTTCCCACATTTTCATTCACCCAAGTTGGATAGGAATTCAAGCCAAAACTGGTCATTTTCGGCACAAACTAAAGTTTGTTTGCTTGGTCGATTTAATGCTAAATGCAAAGCTTTTAATTGACCCACTGGCCTAATTCGTACCTGAGCTACCCCACTTTATAAATAACAAGGTTAGGAGAAAAAAAAGAAGCAAATTCCTTGTATTTATGATGTAGCCCGTAGGCCAAGCCCCAAGTCTACAGAAAAAGCAATAAATCCCGCAAACCTTACTAAAATGGACCCCCTTGATTTATTCTTGATTTTATATGGTTAGGTTTGCTCTTTAACGTATGTAATTAACAGGTTAAGTTAGTTTAAAATGTGAAAAATATTCGTTTAATTTCTTTTACTTAAAATTATTAAGATTTGAATTTTAATTATTGAAATTGAAAGTCAACATTTAATCAATAGGCTATACAATTATTGGTTAATTCATTTTGAATTTTGAATCATTATTTTTGTTTTTCCTTTTTAAATGGATAAATGTCCCCTTTGATATTGATTTCATTTGTCATTATGGTGCATTAGACTTTGCATATCAAATTATTAGCTAAATGGGATTTAAAGTAATAACATTAACATGATTGGTTCCAGTTGTAACCTTTAATGTAACAGTGGAACCTGACAAGATCTACCACCAGATTCTCATCCACTAAGGTTTTGAATCTGCAGACTGCAGTAACCAAAAGAGAAACATTGTCCAACAACTTTTTGAGGCCTGCAAGGATAATTCTTTCTATTGAAAAATTTGTTGGTGGAAAGTTATTGGTATTGTTAAATGATGGTTGTGGTCTTGTAAGTGGAAACCAGGACTCGAGCTGTTTCTGAATTTTGAAGCAGTGGATGCCGCCTATCTTAGTAACTTGGTTCACAATGATGAAATTTTCATTTGAATCTTGTCAGCATTGAAAGCCATCTTTTTGAGCCTGAAAAGATCTTGCACTCTTTGATTCTTTGCCAACATTGTCGAGCCAAGGCGATCGGTATTCCGGTAGTTCCAAAATGTGCTTAGCAGCTTGGATGCAGGTAGCTACAACTCCGACCCATTTCCATCATTGGGCCTAAAAGATATAGCATTCTTATATCTTAATGGGCCAACATCATTCCAATATCTGGCCGAAAGAAAAAGGAAACAGTTCCCATTCCTCTATAAAAGTTAAAAGTGAGAGGGAATTTAGTCGGAGAACCTGAAAAATCCAACATTCATCTGTCGTTCCTAACGTGGCGAGACAGAAACATTAATCGGGAAGAGTTGGCAATTTCCTTAGGCCCCATTTGGATTTCATCAGACCTCGTAAGTGTCATTGATCTCATTTTATCTCCAGTTGAATCTAAATGCTAACTTTAATAAAATCCATTCAATATAAATTTTTTATTAAATTTTTTTTTCAATTACAACTATCGTAAATTTTTTTCAATTACAACTATAATAACTTTTATTATTATTTTTAATCTCACTACAATTAATTTCCCCATCCACCCAAATAAAGCCTTGGTCAATCTTTCAAAAAGAATACACGCAAAACAGGCTTGCAGCAACAAGAGAAATTGGACTTTGAAAATGAGAGCCCAATCAAAACGCAGGTTATTGATCAATAAGAATTGCCTTCTTTTTTGTTCTCTTTTAGATGGAAAGCATAACTAAAGAGAAAGGAAAAAGAAGATAGAGTTGACCTTACTCTATTTGTAACAACAATCAAGTATAACAAGCAGAAGCATGATGCTGAAAATACATGTTTTGCACGTAGCAAAATTCAACATATCCAACCAATTGACATAACTGAATAATGTTTCAACGGAGAACCATGAAGAGTAAACTGAGGCGAGACCAAGGAGATGTGAGAAATTGAACTAGGTTTCTTTAGGGGGGGCCTTCTTTGCAGCCTCTGCAGCTGCTTTCTCTGCTTCAATCTCAGCAACAATGGCATCAATTTCAGCTTCTTCTAGTTGTCGCAGTCCATGCTCTTTTGTCATCACGGCAACTTCTATGTTCTTTCCACCACTCTCAACAACCTAATTGTTTTTAAAGAAAAAAACACAAATATAAAACATAAATCACAGGTTATTAAGGTAAAATAGAAAAATGCTTTCATCCATGCTACAATCAAAGACAAATCAAAACAACAGATTTAATTTATTAAAGAAAGGACTTTGCTAATGAGTGCCCTAAGAGAATTATTTAAGGTTAGTTAATATCCTATTTATAGTAATATTCTTTCATTAAATGTGGTATTTAACAGTTAATATGCTGATTCCCAGTGCATTGAAAGAACGTATTACTATATATGTAATCTTAAAGAGTGTTCTTAGAACACTGGTTAGCAAAACCCTTAATGAAATTATGCCAGGCAATTTATTTTGGCCCAGGATTCATGCAAACATGATCATCAACCGTTAGTGAAACCTTATAAATCCACCATTGGCGCTGGACAAATTTGTTTCACAGTCAGCATAACAGGTGTATGTGAAGCAACTGTACATCAGTAACCAACTCATCAGGCATTGCTCCATAAATCAAAATAGTAGTTAAAGTTCAAACTAGAACTAATGGTAACTTCATCCTACATCAAGTAGCTGGCTTCAAAAGAAAAGATTAGCATTTGTGGCTCAACTTAAGCAATAGGCCATGTATAGCCAAGAAAGAACATAGTTCCACTAACCAAGAACATACAGCTATAACACTATATAAGGCAGTTACCATTACCACAACCTAAAATACAAAACTGTGTTACTTAATATACAAAACTGTGTTACTTAGGCATGACCAGATTATAATCTATACATCAAAAATGTATATCCCTAAGAAGTCCATAACACCTTATTCGAAAGGCACAGAAGTGTACTGCTTACACAAACTAGTTAGCTGAGTAAATTTGAACAAAGAATTTGGCCTTGGCCTGAGAATTCAAGACATAACTCAATCTGAGATGCAGCTAATTCTCCACCACACTTTAGTTTCCAAGGAAACTTAAATTTAGAAATGTCATAGTTAAAAGTTAAATGAGGAAAACGTGATGAAATCAATCAACAAATGAGATATGAGACAGATGATGATCTCATGACAACTACCAGGAAGAAACTGGTGAAACCCTCCAAAGAACAGCACCGCATAATATATTTAACCAAGCCATTACAGCAAGTAACATCAAAATCATCAATACAGTGTAAGAATGGAAAATCCCACAGTTTTTGTTGTCAAAATTTTTAACATAAAAGGTAAACCATATATTATTTGATATAAGAAGAAACGAGTTTCACTTACATTTGTACTCCATAATTATAAGTAATGAATTCTTATTAAAACGGATGCTGTGCAAGCAACCTTGCTTAAGAGAGCATTTTATATCTATAAATACCAACATAAAAAACTGAAGCAAATAGAACACATCATGCATTCAAGACAGTAAATCCAACTTAAAAATAGTACAGTAGTCACACTTAGAACGTTGACTAAAACTACTAAGCCCAAGGCATACAAGCATATTTGAAAAGAAAAACTTACTTCAAGCAAAGCGCGAATTGCTAGCTTCACTGTTTCTTGCCCAGAAGTTTCCTTATAATTTTTCTCCAGAAACTCCCTCATCGAATTAGAGTTTCTCCCAGTTGCATTAGCCTTCCAAGCAGAAAATGTTCCCGATGGATCAGTCTGGTAAAGAGAAGGAACACCGGCGTACGGATCAAAACCAACAATTAAGGTCGAAAGACCAAATGGTCTCACACCACCGCTCTGTGTATACTTCTGTTGCAGACCAGCAATGTATCGTGTTATATATTCCACAGTTACAGGATCCTCAACTGTGAGCCTATGACTCTGGCATTCAATTCGAGCCCTATTGATCAAGACGCGAGCGTCTGCTTTTAAACCCGCGCAAGCCAGAGCAATATGATCATCCAAAGACACGATCTTTCTAACAGTTCTATGAGTAAAAAATAACAAATAAATTATAGTGAGCATATAAGTTCGCAAATCCCATTATTACAAGCATTCAAAATTAAAAAAAAAAAAGTTACGATTTTTCTTCGAAGCTACGATAATTAGAGGGTTCCAGAATTAATCTAATTAGAAAAAAATCATGAAATAAATAAGGGAAAATATTTCAACAAATTGAATCAGAAAAAACTATCGTGTATAAGAAAATTTATACCTGGAGTCTTGGAGCTTGGCGGTGGATTTTTTTTCGACGCCGAGGACGACGATGTCGGTGCCGCGTACTCCAACGGCAGCGTTACCTTTACGGACGGCTTCGAGAGCGTACTCCACCTGGAATAAATGCCCATCGGGGGAGAAAACTGTAATTGCTCGATCATATCTCGCCATTTTTTATTTTGTTTCTGCTTTTCCTATATAATTACTCCTTCTTTCTTTTCTCTTTTTCCTGCTATTCAACAAACAATTGTGTTGAAATATCTGACTTTGGTTTTCGAGTGGTTTTGATTTGCGATCTGAAAGAGTGTTTTTGAGTGGAAAAACTTGGAGGACAAGCCAAACAGCCCAAGAAGACACTGTACTGCCAAAATCGCCGTACCGACGTCGTTTTACTCTATTTACCTTTTTTATGATGAGTTAATTTTACTTTTTGAACGAGGACAAGCCAAATAGCCCAAGAAGACACTGTACTGTGAAAATCGCTGTACCGACGCCGTTGTACTCTATTGGCCTTTTTCATTACGAGTTAATTTTACTTTTGGAACGAGGCAGACGTACAAATTTGTATTTTAAAAAAATTTGAGTCTCGTCGATATCATTTATTATCATAATTTCGAATATATAATTTACAATAATTTATTTTAAATTATTAAATACGATATATTTTATTATAATTTAAAAAATTAAGTAACTTATTTATAATCAAATTTTTTAAAAAAATATTTAAAAAATAAAAAATAAAATTTGTATTTTAAAATTTTAAATAATATATTATTTATATTTAAATTTAAATATTGTAAATTTAATTCATTTATATGTCATTTAATCAGTGTAATTTTATTATATGTACATTATTTATTAAATAAAAATATTTTTAATATTTTATAAAAAATGTTTTATAAATGTCACATGATAAAAAGAATATTGATAATATACGCAGTGAATAAATAATTTGATAATATTTATCAAATATTATATATATAAACTAACAGAATTAGCAAAATTAAAGTTTTAGTAAATATAATACATAATTGAAAATTTAAGATGTAAATTATACATTTTATTTTTTTAGATATAAATTTATATATTTTTTTAAAGTTTAAGTATAAAAATATAGTTAATTCTTTTATTATTTTTATTTAGCTAAAATACTGAAAGCACCCTTATAATTTCTCATATTTTTCAAATAAATCGTTATCCTTTTATTGCATCAATTAAGTCTTTAAAGTCTTAATTTTATTTATTTAAACCGAAACCACTAAAATCTGTTAGACAAATAGGAATTAATTTAAACAAAATAGTTCCATTTCTGTTCTTCTTTGATTAAAGATGAATTTTTTTTTTTATCTTTTATAAGGAAAATAAAATTATAATATACATAGAAATGTGGGTTATGTATATTTCAGTATTGATGTAAAATACTAAAAGAAATACTATACATTTCACTATTTCTATTCATTTGCAAAATGCATGAAAACAAACACAAACTCGTTTGGCATTAGTGATTTAAGGTTTTAATTTTGAAAATTGTAAATATGACGTAATGTCATTTGGAAATAAAAAGATTAAGTTTTAAGATATATAAAATACATATATATTTACTTGCGTAAGTAAAAAAAAAAAAACAGAATTGCTATTAGGAAAGCAATAATACTCTTTGAAGAGACCCAAAAAAAAAAAAAAAAACCATATTAGATTATTAAGAAATGTTGTTTTTCTCAAGAAAACGTCTTTTGCACGAGGAAATGACTTTAGTAAATTTTTTATGGTAATAATTAAATTTAATAATTTAAAATATAATATAATAATATAATACAAAAATAAAATAAAAAAATAACATAATTTAAAATTATAATAATTATTATATATGTATTTAACAAAAAATTTATATTTTATAATTTTATATCGACATTTATTATTATATATAATTTTTATATAAATTATAATATAAATATATTAATTTTAATATTTTATACTATACAAATATGCGTTTCTAGCAAAATAGGTTTTTCGAGGACAGGAGGCATGATTAGACTTAAATGTGTTATCCGTCCTTAGCAAAAGGAGAAAAAGAAAACAAAATAAAGTGATTGCGCTCAAAATCCGAACGACAATGATCAAAGAGGAGAAAGAAAATTATTGGAAATGAAGGGGTACAACGACTACGAGTTCCATTTTTGGAGCAATCAACAAATTTTCACACGATTACTCCACGAAAATGGAACTGTGTGGAAGCGTGGACTTGGGTCAGCTCTCTTTCGAAGTTTAGTGCGATGGAGAAATCACATTCCCGACCAATTAGCCATGCCACACCATTTCTAGTTGTTTCATTGGCCAAAACAAATATGATAACATTGAGAGACTCTCGAGAACCACATATTTTTAGTTTTTTTTTTTTTTTTTCCTTACTTCTGCCATAGTGAAAAGCGAAAAGTAATGTTCGATAATCATTTTTTTTTTGGGAAAAAAATGAATATTTTCATTGAGTATACCCCAGGGACCTTCCTATTATGTTCGATGTGGGATTCAGGACTCCCCCTTAGGTCCGTGACATTCTCCCGCACCCAACCTCGTGACGCCCTCGTCACGGAGGCCGGCCACCCTGCCTACCTCCCTCGAGACGCTCGGCGTGGATCGAACGGTTTAGGGCTGGCTCTGATACCACTTGTTGCGCCTGAAGCAATAATCACAACAATACAGAAGCAATAGACAACAATCAATAATCAAATACGCAGGAAAAATAAAGCACACCAAGATTTACGTGGAAAACCCTCCAGTGTAGAGGGAAAAAACCACGGGCCACCAGAAAAATCTTCACTATCAAATAATAGTTATACAAAGTTCTTCTCTAGCTAAAACTAGAGCTAATCAACAACTAGAGAAACAATTGGAGAAATCTCACCAAATAAGTGACTCAACAAATACACCCTGGATTTGTTTCTAGAGAGCTTCAAACCCGATCTTCACCGTTCAGAATGTAGAACTCTAAGCAGGAAAATATGTTGCAGAGTTTTAAACTTTTATTTGGTTTCATTTCATCAGATGTTAATTTAAGTATGTGAAGCCGTGGACTCACAAACAAAGTGGTCTAAATCAAGAGGCCGAGTAAAATGAGAAATGATTCTATGTCATCGGGCCATGGCTATTGTCAGAGAGGAGTCAACACACATCAAACAAGCCTATTGATACGACTCTCAGATTGAGTTAACATGAAGATTAATGCAGTTTAACAATTATGTGAAATGCATGTATTAAGTTGTAAAGATTACTTAGATTCATAAAATATCAATCCAAGTTCGCAAAAATATCACTAAATATTTGAATATCTAAGAAAAAAGAAGGAGCAGCTTGCTAGGAAGCAAGAGACGATATGGATGTTCAGGTTTTGGGGGCTTTTGATTGTGGTGGGAGTGTCAGCAAGCATTGTTGGGAAAGACCGAAGCTTCATGAAAGGATAATTGACCTGAAAAAATGCTTCTTTTCATATGATTATTCCTTGATAAAGGAAAGGGATTGTCAAAAACAAAACATAAAAACACGAAGATAAAACGAAGGCCACTCCACTTTCATGCGAAGCAAGTGTTGCGGAAGGTCTATTTCAGTTCAAGTTGTCAAAAAATAAAACACCAAAATCTCATCTTTAATGGCAAAAGGAATAAAAGATTAGGATGTTTATTCAATTCATTTCCCTTGGTGGAAAGTCGACATATCTACCACTTAGATCAGATCAAATGAAAATGAACCTTAACCCACCATCCACTAAGGGAAAGAAAAAGATGCATGCCATGCCACCAACAATGTAATTAGGTTTGTGGTGTTGGTTTTTTTTTTGGGTAAGATAAAGCCAGATACTAGGCGGAAATTTCTTCCGACTTCATTTAATGTGCCTCAAAATAATTATTGCAATTCTCTAAAAGTAAAAGTGACAAAGTTTGACAGTGAAATGTTTTTTTCAACAATCAAAGACACCCAGACTCTTCAATTTGTGACAAAAAGAGAATGAAGTTTGTTTTAAGACTGGACAGGTTCATAGAATATTGAACTAAATAATAACCAGAATAACCTATCAAAACACAACGGATGGAGAAAATTATGAAAGGGAATGGCCTTATCCGAGGCCATCCACTTTCCTGTACAGCAGAATCCAATTGAGGCATGCTGGTGACCTTGTGTTTAAATTATTGGAGCTGTAAAATGTGGGAAAGCAATAAACAACGATGAATCATGGCTATCTGATGTCAGCAACAATAATGGAAGAAAGAAAGTGAAAAGGAGATTATCTATAATTTGGATACCATAAAGAATTGATATAGAGAGAGTTATTAACACCCAAAGCCATTGTAACAGCAAAAACAAGTGGATTAAATTAAAAATAAAAAATAAAAACTCGCTTTTACATAATTAGAACTACAAGTACTCAGTATAAAGCAATAATGATGGAGCAATCAGGAGTAGGACAACAGTTAAAAGGTAAACCTCCCATTTGAAATAGATGTTTCCATTGATTTGATTATCAACAAAGAAGAGATTTTTGGATATGTATTAGAGAGGGGTAAACGTGTTACATGCACGATTGCTAATCAAGACGTTTGGACCCATAACAATATTCCATTTTATTCAGTATATTTTCTCCTATAAAAAGCCCTTTATACAAAATATGTAACATCCACCATCCTCTGCTTCTTAGCTTTTCCTAGCTACCCTCTCTTACAGCGCAATCTTTTTATCTTCCATTAATCTCAACCATGTTGCCTAGGAGTCGGACTATGCCAAGTAGGATTCACCATGGCGCTGTAATATGCTCTTCATCACCTTGTTCATCGAGAACATTTTCTTTTCCATTTTGTTGTTCTTCAGTTCTTCTAACATTGATGTTTTTTTTATGCTTTAGATCGAGGAAAGGCATGATATTAGGCACTACTTACAAGTAGAAGTTCAGCCTAATGCTCAGAATGAGAGTGAAGCAATGAACACTCAAGCCAACTATTCCAAGTGTTTTGATGATGATGGCCGCTTGAAGAGAACCGGTAACACTATGATATGGTTGATATATAGCTCTAGTATGCTTATTACCTTTCTTTTTGAAGTCCTTCACACTACAACAAATATGTGGATGCAGGCACTTTTTGGACTGCAACATCACATATTATAACTGCTGTCATCGGGTCAGGAGTTTTATCGTTGGCATGGGCCATGGCGCAGCTTGGTTGGGTTGCAGGTCCAACTGTCTTGGTACTTTTCGCCTTTGTCAATCTCTACACTTCCAACCTCCTAACAGAGTGTTATAGGTCTGGTGACCCTATGACTGGACAAAGAAACTATACCTACATGGATGCTGTCAAGGCACACCTAGGTAACTGAATTAGTGTTTATTATAAATCATTATCAAGCAAGTAAAATTTGTACAGCATTATTACCCTAGTAAATCATAATAGTATAAAAGTTATCATGCCAATATTTTTTATATATTTTGTTATTGCAGGAGGATGGAAGGTCAAGTTATGTGGATGGATCCAATACCTGAATTTATTTGGTGTTGCAATTGGGTATACAATAGCTGCATCAGTGAGTATGATGTGAGTTATCTTGACTAAATTCATCAACTTTTCTCTGCTTTGGCAATTTCATTAGTTTGAAATGCTTGTATATAATCCTTTCCTATAAATGGTTGCCTACAAAGAACTAAAATCGAGTGTATATAATCCATTTTAATGTGTTTAGGGCGATCAAGAGATCAAACTGTTTCCACAAGAGTGGTGGAACAGATCCATGTCATATGTCAAGCAACGGGTATATGATATCATTTGGAATTGCGGAAGTGATTTTTTCTCAGATACCAGACTTTAGTCACGTATGGTGGCTTTCCATAGTTGCAGCTATTATGTCATTTACATATTCAACGGCTGGTCTTGGACTTGGCATTGGCAAAGTTGCAGGTACCAACATGGATAGTAATTTATGTTCCCTTCACTAAAACAGCAGTTGTTAAGCCAACTTTTGAACAGTTGAAAAAGTTAAACGGAAATGGTTTACTTCTTTTCCTTGAGTATCTACTAGAATTAGAAATAAAGTATATGTATAGCAATTTGGTGGCACCATGCGTCTATAATTTTCTATATATGAATAGAAACGAGATGCGAACTCCTTTTTGCAGAACACGGGAGGTTTGATGGAAGCCTTATGGGTATCAGCATAGGTACAGTAACACATGCTGGAACAGTTACTGGCATGCAAAAGATATGGAGGACTTTGCAAGCACTGGGAGCTATTGCTTTTGCATACTCCTATTCTATAATCCTTATTGAAATTCAGGTATGTATGCGGATCATAAGAAGTAGTTTGTAACTTGGAAATGTTGCCTATTAGTAATAACATGACCTGTGCTCCTGCAGGATACAGTAAAATCTCCTCCAGCAGAGTACAAGACAATGAAGAAGGCTACTTTATTCAGCATCACTGTAACAACTGTGTTTTATTTACTCTGTGGTTGCATGGGATATGCAGCCTTCGGAGACCTCGCCCCTGGAAATCTTTTGACTGGATTTGGATTTTACAACCCTTACTGGTTGCTAGACATTGCTAACCTAGCGATTGTTGTCCACCTTGTTGGCGCATATCAGGTACGTTCTGTCAAATTATTTATCACATAGTAAAGTGAATCACCTTGATAAGCTAACATGCTCTGCTGGAAATTCTGATTAACTTTTGTTCAGAACTTAGTTCTATAAATGTGAAATTGTAGGTCTTTTGCCAGCCCCTGTTTGCATTTATTGAAAAATGGTGTGCTCAAAAGTGGCCAAAGAGTGACTTCGTGACAGCAGAATATGACATACCTATCCCTTTTGGAGGTGTGTACCAGCTTAACCTCTTCCGCCTAGTATGGAGGACAATATTTGTTGTGATGACAACTCTCATAGCCATGCTCATGCCATTTTTCAATGATGTTGTTGGATTCCTCGGGGCAATGGGATTCTGGCCCTTAACTGTTTATTTCCCTGTTGAGATGTATATATCTCAAAAGAAGATTGGACGAGGAACAAGCAGATGGCTTGGTCTCCGAATAATCAGTGTGGCTTGTTTCTTTGTCACAGTGGCTGCTGCAGTTGGTTCTGTAGCTGGGGTTGTTCTGGATCTCAAGACTTACAAGCCATTTGAAACTAGTTACTGAGTCATGATAGTCCAAGAATTTATGAGTTAAGTACAATAGGAATTTATAAAAATATCATCTATTCAATGATATCTTGTGACTTGTGAGTAAGAGCAACAAATTAATAATTATGTGAGGTGTTAAAAATGTATCAAATACAATTTCCGCCCGGAATAAGATGTATCTACTTCTCTACAGTTATCACTCGTCAAGAACCAAAGCAGCTTCTTCATCACCTCTGCTGCTATTGGCTAGGCTAGGCAAATTGCCAGATTCCGAGAACTCTTTCAGTAACTGTACAACATTCATTACAATGAATAATGAAACAAACATATAAACACAACTGCCTTCTTGAATTCTAAGAAACAGCTCAACCTTTGAAAAACTGCAACTCTAAACTCGGTATTACTTCGTATTTTTGGCCTTCAATTCAGCTGCATTTGCTTCTGCAGTAGCTTTAGCAAGAGTTGTGGGTTTGAAAACACTCTTGGGATTAAGAGCCTTTCTTATCTTGAAGACGGCCCAAGCAGTTCCAATTGCAAGTCCTGCTGCATCTAGCCCTTCATTTGTCACCTGTCCTGCCCTTTCTCCATACCTGCAACAACAAAATCACAATCAGACTGTCTTCTTTCTCCAAGTACTAAGATAGGTAAATTTGGATAGATACCACATATTCGCCAATCTAGGTCCATATCTAAGCCCTTTTGTCTTGCACTAATGAAATCATCAGTGGCATAATAAACAATTAAACATGATGATGAATATTATCCAGTGACAACAGTCAAAAACATGATGATCATTATTATGACAAGTACAATTCAAATCATCAACTTTTAATTTTAGAAACGTACCTTTGTGAAACAAGTCCAGTTGTCACAACAGATGTGGTAGACATGACATTCCTTCCAGCTACTTCAACAGCATCACAAACCTTATCTAAATGGACATACAAGAAGAAAAATGTAAGAATACTATTACTCAGTTTTAAAACACAGTAATTTGAGATTCATAGCAATAGCAGGCATGGAGTTGGCATCCTAGCAGACAACTATAATCACAGTCATAACAAATTAAGGTAAAATTCATGAGAAGGAAGAACTCACTAAATCCATCCAAGGAAGCAAGAACGATTTCTCCAGGCAGCAGCTTGAAAAATTTCTTGCCAACTTTGGAGTTGATGATTGAACTTGTGAAGAATCCAGACACTTTAACTACCCCGGCAAGAATTCCAGTGGCCACTTTCTCTGACATCTTTGTTAACTTCTTAACCCTGAAAAGTACACAATATCCATTATAGGCTGCTACAAATTAATAAACAAGTAGGCCGCAAAAAAAATACAGAGAGGACATGAAATAATCAAGAATATAGCAGGATTGTATCCCCCATTACTTAAACTCATTCGTTCAAAGAATTAGTAAAGGAATGCACTGACATTTGTCCTGCACAGACAAAAGAAGTTATGTATCTAGAATTTAACTTAATAATTAAAGACATGCAAGAATTTTTATGACAACAGACACTAACATAAAACTCCCATGATACTTAATAATTCGTCCTCTAATTTCTTGCAACGGCAGTGATCAGATCACACCTTTGTTGCGAACTTATTTTTTTGTTTTTTGACGATCCAAGAAATTTTTCACAAGATTTTGACACAGATTGCTGACGGTTAAGCAGTTCATTAGTTTAGCCACAGTATATCTCTGTTTCAGGAGTAACTAAACTTTCCAAAGGATCAAAAGTTAAGCAGTTCAAGCAAATTCCCAAATTATCAATAAATAATACCAAAAGATTTTTTGTTAGAACTTAGAACAGATCACTAAGGACAAAACATAAAAGAAATGGACACGGTTTCTACAAGGAGGGAGGAAGGGTAAAAGAAATTTATCAGCAAAAAGGCTTATATGATCAAGAAACAAACCTTTTCATCCTTCTCAAGGCCCCAGGGCTAATCTCCGAGGTTGAACCTGGCTTCATCCTCTTTTTCAAGAACTCATTGCCCCACTTCAACCTATCCACAGTAACATCGCCGCACCACAAAATCCCCTTTACAACGAACCCTGACCCCGACGCAATTGCCCTTGCTATGGACCCACTATAGTCTTCAACATTAGGCGCCAGAGTCGTCCAGTAGGCCATTGAACTGCCAACTATTAACTCCCTCTTTTCCTCTCTCTCCAACTCCTCTGGCGCCACATTTCTCGTATCCACAACATTCCAGTTCTCTATCCCTTTCACTTCTTGCACCAAAAAACAACTGTAAGTTTCCAATACTCTATCCAGTTCCTTCAACAAACCCTCTTGTCCCTTTGCAGCTATTGCCAAGCCATAGTTCAATACCTCCTCGGTTTGTTTACAATCTCTACCATCCCCAAACGACCCATTTGACGGTACTCGAAGAGTAAAGAAATAGTGGGAAGTATCAAGCTTTACCACTGGCTCATCTTTAGCCAAAGGCCATTGAATATCATCACCAATACGAACAAAAACAGCAACAATGTTATCACCTTGAAGGAGACTAACAATACAGAGCTCACCACAAGCAAGCTGTACGCTCGTCTCTCGTTCAATAAGGTGAACTATAGCACCAGGGACCTTAAGGAGGAGTTGTTCTTGAGAATCTAGGTGGGTCACTAAAACGGTGTCGTCTTCTGGGAAGAGGTTTTCTGCTAAATCTTTCATGTCAATGGAAGGGTACAAGGAAGAAGAAGGAGAAGAAGAATTGTAGAAAGAAGTGGCGTCAGGGTTTGAAAGATCAACTTGGGGGTAAAGACAGGAACGGTTTTGAGAGGGTTTTGAAGGACAAGAAGACATGGATGAATCTGTTTGTTTGGTTACTTCGACTTTGATCACTTCGGGGTTTTTGAGTTCTGTTTCGTTTGATCTGTTCCTTGGATTTTGGCTTCGGAGATGAAGAGAATTTAAGGTGGGACAGACTTAGGGTCGAAGCAAAATACAACTGTACGACGTGTCGGTTGGGTTATGCAAAGCGAGCTGCATGTGGAATTGAGAGGAGAAGCCGCGCCACGACAGTGGCACTTATCTGTCATTTAAAGTCATTTATTGGCAACGGACAAGCATCCGTGTTTTGGTTAGTTTGACAATTTTATCTTCATATTCAAAGCTTGCTTCGAGACAAAGAGTCACAAATTAAACCCGGTCAAAAGCCCAAAACGCCCAGGTTTAAGTAGAGTAACTGATAAGTACATTTTATGCGCTAAGCCGAAGTAATCGTTTGGATCGGCAGGAAAAGCCCACAAAACCCCCTTTCGCTAAATAAAAAAAAAACTATTTGACTAAATCTTAAATATTTCATCGCCTTGAATTTCCATGATTTTAAGCAAAATCAAGAGAAACCCATCCGGTTTTCTTCGTTTTAATGCCTTCTCCACTTCTTTCAAACCTCCTTACCCATGCATTAATTCATATAACGCCTCCAAACTCTTGAGTAATTACCTTAAAGCTGGGAGAGTCAAAGAAGCAGAGAAATTGTTTGGTCAAATTCCCCAAAGAAACATAGTTTTATGGTCCATTTTGATTCATGGGTATTCAATAAATGGGCATCACATAAAATCCATGGAATCATATTCCCATATGCGAAAATCGGGTTTATTTCCTAATTCTTTCACTGTTGTTGGTCTTCTTGTTGGCATTAAAGGCTTGCAAAACTTTGTGTTGGGGCAATCAATTCATGGACTAATTTTGAAATGTGGGTTAAATTTCGACTTAGTTGTATGCACTGCAATGTTTAATACTTATGCTAGATGTGGAAATATAAGCGATTCGTATAAAGTATTTATGGAACTGGAGAACCCGGGTTTGGTTTCTTGCAATGCTATGATTGCAGGGTTTGTAACCAACGAACTCTTTGAAGAGGCTATTTTACTATTTAAGAAGTTAAGGAAATGTGGTTTGGTTCCTAATGTGGCTACTGCAGTATCTATCATTCAGAGTTGTGTTGGTTTAGACTTGAGAGTTGTATGCGAATCAATCCATGGTTTAATAGTTAAGTTTGGTCTTGCTTCGGATATAAGAGTCAATAATTCAGTACTTGACATGTACTCTTGTTTGATGGATTTGGATGCTGCTACAGCAATTTTTGAGGGCATGAAACACAAAGATGTTATCAGTTGGACAACAATGATGGGTTTATTAGTCAACCATGAATATGCTACTAATGCTATAGAGCTTTTCTGTAAAATGAAGGCTAGCAGGGTGAGTTACGATGCTATTGTTGTTATGAATCTTGTTTCAGCTTGTGCAATCTTAGGTGATTTGAGGAAAGGAAAACAAACCCATGCCCATGCTGTTGTTTGTGGATTTGTATCAGAGCTTCCACTTGTGAACTCAATTATGACAATGTATTCTAAATGTGGTGATATAGATTCTTCTAGAACTTTGTTTGATCAATCAACTCAGAGGAGTTTAGTGTCATGGGCAGCAATAATTTCAGGATATCTACAAAATGGTTTCTCAAGAGAGGCTCTGAATCTCTTTATTAAGGTTAGACAGGAAGGATACTATCATTCCGATTCAGTAATGCTGATGAGTGCTTTAACAGCTTCCTGTGATATAGCTGCTTTTGAGCTCTGCCAGCAGCTCCATTGTTGTGCTTTCGAAGCTGGATACTCTTCCCATAGATCGCTTCAGAATACTCTGATATCAGCATATTCAAAATGCGGCAATATGGACCTTGCCGACTTTGTCTTCAAGGAGATGGGTTATCTTAAAGATGTAGTCTCTTGGAATGCAATTATAAATGGGTATGGTATCAATGGTCAAGGAGAAACAGCCCTTGCTCTCTTCCATGAAATGAGGAAAGGTGCAGAAGAGGCTGACGGTGCTACTTATTTGTCCATATTGAACGCTTGTAGTCATGGAGGATTGATAAATGATGCCCTGATTATTTTCAATAAAATGGTGGAAGATGATAAAATAAGGCCTAGCCAAGAGCATTATGGCTGTATCATTGATTTGCTTGCACGAGCAGGCTGTTTATCTGATGCAAGCAGTTTTGTTAGTCAATTAAGGATAGGTCCTAATGCTTGGAAGGCTTTTTTGAGTGGCTGCATGCTTCATGGTAATGTGGAGCTAGCTGAATTTGCAGCAAGAAAGGTCTTTGAGCTGGAGCCTAGGGGATCAGATCAAATTGTGCTCATTTCAAATGTTTATGCTTCTGTTGGTAGGTTTCAGGATTCAGAAGCATTGAGATTAGGCATGCAGAAGAAAGCATTGATTAAGAAGCCAGGAGTTAGCTTGCTCTATAGGAATTCTTATGACGGTGGTTGAAGATCCTTGATTTTCTGAAGTATAGAGAAGGATAACTGTACATGGCCATCTGTCAACGTGCAAATAGTATAACTTTGGGTCTGACTATTATTGAATGTAGCAGCTTATCCTAAGGAAATTTTACGAGTTCTGCCCAGATCATCCCATGTTGGGGAAAAGAAACTGGATATTGGAACAGATGGATTTTGATGGCTTTGCCGATTCAGTAAGTGGTTGTTAAAGACTTGCTATACACAGCAGCTTGTGTACTACTTCTATTCATGGTGATGGAACAGAGGAGTAACCGGTTAGGTAAAACCTAAGGGCTTTGGACCAGAGTATCCGGATCTTGGAAGACTTTTTGTCAACTTCTCAGTACCTTATGAAAGGATGGCCGTAGTATCAAACGAAGTTGATGGTGTTCAAGAATGATTTGAGGAAAGCAAATACATAGCATGAACGCTGATATTCCATAGATGACCAGAAAGAATACCCGATATGTGAGAAAATTTTCTGATGTTCCAATTATATATGTCAGTCGAAGCGAGATGCAGCTGCAAAGCTCTGGCTGAATCGACAGATCACAAGTATGTATGTATTGGTGGCAAAACTGTTGGCAGAAACCTAGACTTTCTTATAGAATACGTTTACAGAGGAAGTCTTCTTGTCATAAATTTAGCTTTAGAGTTATGCAGCAGGACCAGAAACGAATACGATCTGCTTCTTTTGCCACATATAGCAGTAATGGCTTACACAAACTGCTATAAATACGCATCTTATCTGCAACAATATCTTCGAAATTTATCATCCTGTAATTGAATTTGCCAATGCTCATCACAACTCTCAATTTTTCTCTCAACTTGGTTTTATTTTAGCTTCTCATGTGACTAAAGAGATTGAGATTGACCTTGTGATTACCTGTGTAAAGGAACTGCCCTTGAGCAAAACGTTGTTCCAAGTACTTTATGTTTTGTCGTTTCTCTAGGTAATAGCTAGTGCTAAACTGAACCAGGATTATAGATAACATATTGACTAACGTGTTCCTTCTGCTTCCATTACCCTTGGAACTTGGTTAATCAATCCCCTCTATGGTATATTAAATTGTGGAGATGCCTTGGATCCACGTGCCTTCACATCTCCCCGTTGCACCAAAATCTCAGGCAGCAGCAAGTCAGTTTCACCCCATCCACACGAGTCTCGCATGCCTGGCTAGTCTCCCTCTCCACTTGCTGAACCATCTCATTAATGCTTCACGTCCTATATATTATATGGTAAAAAAATGTTCTTTCTGCTTCTGCCGACATTGGTAATTTCATTAGCAAGGGTTTGAAACAATGAGGATATCGAATTCTCTTGCAGCCAACTGGAACTACGTTTGGACTGCTAGTATCTTGTTCTTCAAGTTGCTTCAGCCCATGAGATTTTTTTCTGTAGAAGGGAGTTACCCAACCATTACTCATCCACTTCAAATGCACATTCAATTCGAATAAGCTGAATTCAAGTAAGTCCAACGGTTGCTCCAAAATGATGTGTAGACAAGGATTTGTATTAAAAAAAAATGTTGAAAATATATTACAATAACCTCCTCATTTTCTCACTCAAAAAGTAACAAATCTGCCTTTTAGCAGGTTGTATTAGGTAAGATCATATCAAAAGTAAGAATCCTCCTTTTCATGTGCTTCCAATCTCGTACGTGAATTATTTATTTAATTTTTTTGTTTGAGCCAATTAAATATATAAACTCAAGTTAATTGTTAAAGATGATCTTGACTTGTTGTGAGTAAAATGTGCTGAAATTCATCATTCTCGAGATAATTATTAAATCGAATCCATCCTTATCAAATGTTACAGTAAAATACAAAAGCTGAAAAAGTTACTTACAGTCAACAACAATCACGTAATTTGTTCAATAATCGAATTTTAAATTCAAAAATCTCAAATATATATATATATATATATAAATTGACTTGCAATCAAATCCTTTCCTTAGAACTCTTAATTTTAGCGTAGGACCCTCAGGCCAAATTCGTATAGGGTCTCTCTTCGCCATGCCAAACAATAGTTTGGCAATTTCCCCAATTCATGGCTGTTCTGTCTTTCTTTTCCAGCAATAGGAAAGAAAATTTGAAAAAAAAAAAACGACCTCGACAATTAATAGATTGGACTTTATGTATTATATAGAACCTTGCAATTTGATCCGCACAAATCAAGCACTCCTTGAACAATACATTATTTCAAGGTACTGAGGGCCCAGCCCAAGAGGTTTCCAACTTGGCAGAATAGTGACTTGGATGTGTACAAATTTAATGGGGTCGACCAACCAATTTTGTTTCTTTTGAGTGCTTATTCGAAATGTTATCCTCCGCCATGAAAGATTATAGCCCACCATCTTCCGCCTCATCATTCAAAGAAATTAAAGTCCTATATATAGGACCCCTCTATCAATTTTAAAGAATAAAGTTAGGGCATCTATATGGGGCTAGCTGACAGAAAAATTAGATTGAAAGCAAAGATCATGGAAATCTAATGGGGGTGTAATTCTATTCCATGTTATGCCTTTAAAGCAGCTAAAGTGGCCCTTCTGGGGTGCCCAAGCACGAGGCCGAAAGAAAATTTAATGATGAAAACTGTCGAGTAGCAAAAGAGAAAAATGGTTACTCATTTTCATCTTTAATTTCCTTTAATTTTTGTGCTTTCATATTCTTTTGTTCCTTCCTGTTTGATTAGAAATTAAAGGGCGGTTGCCAGTTGGTTCCATTGACCAAAGTGTCCAATGATAATTCAAGAAACGCCGGCAAAGAAATGGTGAGAATTTGTTGAAGAATGCCATCCGCCATGAGTGAAAGCTTTTTGGAAGGAAAAAAAAAAAGCGCACATACAATTCTTTACTGAAATGTAAAACATTTATAATTCTATGTTGAGGTGGGAAAGCTTTGCCTCCTTAATCAGCGGAGTAAATAAAATGATTGACAGCTAGATTTTCGAAGACAAACGAGTTTATATAATCATATGGTTTTATAAATGAACTGACTCATTGCTTGGTAAAGCAATAGTGACAACCTTTTCAACGACTACAAGTTCATAGCTTTAGAGCTAGAGCCAAAACAAGAATAGTCAGCACAGCAGGGCCGGGCATTCAATCCGCAATTTATTACTAGATATCGAGTGAATCAATAACCAAAAACCAACAACTTGACAAAGCCATATTTGCTGCGGGAATGACGATCCATCAGTTGACTGAAAGATCATAGCATGGGCTGTTCTGCTTGAAATTTTCAGCAATCGCATTTCTTGACTTTCTTGCCAGTGACCTGAGTCACCTTATTGACCCCACAATGATCGCCTCAACATTTATTTACAAGATTAAGCAGTCCTGTTAACTTCATCCCCCCAATCCCCTTGGTTTTGATGGGACAATGGGTGGTAAATGATAAGTCAATTATAAACAATTTTGACCCTTGAATTAAAATACGGTTTGCTCCACAGTGATAGAGATTTTTTTGTCTGATAATTTTCTTAGCACTGTTCTGTATATATAAACTTCTCAAGTTTATAAATACACAAGATTATGGAGATAATAATAAAGTAAAATTAAAGGAAAAAACTCACACTAAACCACCCTCAAAACCAGTTTTTGAAAGGCTCTCCTAATCCTACCCGAAAAAAAACACACAAAAAGGAACGTGGTGCTTCGCCTTCATTATGCGTAGCAACTTCTACACTTAACTCTATACTGTCTCCCCTGATTCAATATTTTAACCACCACCTACCAAAGTGACCCAATTCATCGATCAAAACCTACATTGATCGAATCCCAAAGGTCACTAGTTTACAAGGGATCGAGTTGAGTAACTACAATGGGGCTCCTCACCACATGCTTAGTCCCATCTGTCCAAGACAGTGACCCGAAAACAGCTCCAGCATCATCCAGCACCAGGTGCTTGCTATCTGCTGTTATGGTCACCGAAAAGCTCCTCTTCTTAACCGCTGGTGTGAACACTAACTTCACCGGCTTCACTGTCACAGTCACCCCTTTTGGTGCCTCTATCTTGGCGACGTAAACTGCATTTGCTTGACCCGCATTAGTCACGGTCCTAATAAACGTCTTGCTCGTCGGACCCCTTGATGTGGTTGAAAACAATGCAGCAATTGAAGGGTAGTTAAGATTCTCAGGCAAAGGCTTCTTCGTTGGACAAACTGCCGGAGATCTCGTAACAACTTGTACTAACTTTGGACTATAACCAATAGCACACAAGAAGTTTTCATAATCATTGTTAGTAATATCATAAATAAGTCCCGGATCCATTGCACGATCTAGATTTAGATGCCCAGCACCAAAATCATAAGGAGTCGACTGCTTCCCAGTTGCTTCATCAATCATAGGCTGATTCTTATTATCAGTTATACTTGCGGTAGTCATCATAGCGGATCGAATTGCCGCTGGACTCCAATCAGGGTGTGCAGATTTAAGCAAAGCCGCTGCACCACTAACATGAGGGCAAGCCATCGAGGTTCCTGATAGAATATTGAACTCTGTTTTCCGTTGATCAGAATCTAACCCAGTTGGACCAACAGCATCAGTCCAAGCAGCCAAAATGTTAACCCCAGGAGCAATCAAATCCGGCTTAAGAATTTCAGGGTTCAACCCATTGGGTCCTCTCCCAGAAAAGGAAGCCACAACAGGCGCAGGCTTGATACCAATGACAGTACCCTTAACATCAATGGTAGCCGTTGGATTCGCTGATGATGAAATATATGATTTGATAGCATCCCCTTCGTCTGACCCAAGAGCACAAGCGGGCAAAAGATGAGCATCACCCACCAATCCTTCACCATTTGAAGCACCATTAGCAAGAATCATGCCGACTCCTCCAGCTTTCTTCACAACCAAACCTTTAGCCACTCTGGGACTACTCCCGCGATCACAAATTACTATTTTTCCCTTAACAACATTAGGGTCAAGCGAATTCTCCATGCATAAAGAAGCCGAGAGTCCCCCTGATTTTCCAGGATAAACCAACGAATACATCTTTCCTTTTAACTGCTCGCCTGAGTACAACGACACACCGTTTAACCTCCTCCCATCACTGAGGATGACGTCAGCAGGGAAATTCCTGTCGATTGTTCCCGCTCCAACGGTAACCAACCAAGGAGCAAGATTGGTAACCGACATTAAATTAGGCCCATCGTTTCCAGCGGAAGATGACACAAATACCCCTCGCGAAACCGCACCGTATGCTCCGATCGCGATTGGGTCGAGATAATAAGGAGAAGAGATTCCGTCTCCGCCGCCAATCGAAATTGAAATGACATCAACGCCATCATTAACGGCGGCATCGAAAGCCGCTAAAATGTCGGAATCGAAACAACCTGAATCCTTCCAACAAACTTTGTAAACTGCCAGTCTTGCTTTCGGCGCAACTCCTTTCGCGATTCCAGCGGCGTAACCTTCCATGCTGGCCCGATATGAGTGTCTTCCAGCAGCGGTTGAGGCCGTGTGGGTGCCGTGACCGTCAGCATCTCTCGGGGACATGAATTCGATCGTTTCATTGATTCCGGCGATCGGACCACCCAGCCCTGCAGCTGCTTCGTGACCTTTAGAGAAGAATCTCGCTCCGATTAATTTGCGGTTACAGTTTTTAGCAACAAATTTGGCTCCGGTTTGGCAAACTCCTTTCCACCGAGCCGGAACGGGTCCAAGATTCGTGTCCGAGAAGCTACGTCGTTCGGGCCAAACTCCAGTGTCGAATACTCCTATTATGACATCGGATCCGTAATCGGAGTCCGACCAAAGTCCATGTTGGTTTCGGAGTCCGAGGAACTGAGGGGAGCGAGTTGTGTGAAGTTCGCGGCGGCGGTCTTCAAAAACAGCAAGTACTGAAGGGTGGTTACTGAGGGAAGCGGCGTGGATTTCAGTTAAAGACGCCGAAAAGCCATGAAAAACCGTGTCGTAAATATGGAGGATTCCAGTTGGTTCGGCGAACTCGGAAGTGTACCAGTGATAATGAGTGGGGAAAACGGACGGCTTTGATTGAGAGTCTACACGGATGATGAAGGTCTTAACCGTCTGATCAGCGGAAAACGAACATGGAAAATTAAAGAAAATGAACAGAAGGAACAGTAAAGGAAGAAAACTGGAGAGAAGTGTCGCCATTTGAAAAACAGGAGAGACAAAGTGAAAGAGTGAAGTGAGTGAGTGTTCGCTGGCCGACAGAGACGGAGTGATATAAGAGATATTATTATTGATTATTCTAAAACGGCTTCGTTTTCACTGTTTGAAAGATAACTGAGATTTTATTTGATTTTTAAATTTTCAATTAGTAAAAGCGATGGTTGTGGGAATGGGGTAGGTTAGGGATTTGGCACATAATGTTTAATGATGACCGTTGGATTAGTGGGGGTTCACTACTGATGTTTGATCAGACGGATATAATAATATTACTAGAATCTAATAATTCCCTAACTGCATTATAAAAAGTGCAAGGAAACAGGCTTCTTGTTCTCTACCCCAAAGTAAACGACAAAGATAAACCCACGCTTTCATTCAAACGGCTGGTAGATAAACTGTAAACATGGAGAAAATTTTTTTAAGTGTCCGAAAGAGACCAAAATTTTGAAGCTGAATCAGGGTGATCTCGGATGATATTTGGGTCAAGTGGTTTGGTTTTCCGGACAAGAAGCATTGCATGAATTGAAACATACTTTTTTCATGCAAATATCAACTCTCAACGGACATCGGCAATGTGAATTTGAATATGATGAAATAAGAGATATTGCTAAAAAAGGATGTTACCCTTCATTTATCTTTTTCTCTAATCCCATGTTCTTTGGTTATAAGAAAAAGATGATAGAGAAAACTTCAGGCAGCAAGACTTGTCAGAACTCAATTTAATGTATTAGGTTTTAGAGATAAACAAATTTGGTAGGTATACAAGTATAAATAACTTTTAAATTATAAATTTATTTTAATTGATTTATGTAATTATTTAAAAAATATGATAATAAATAAATTTAAAATTCAAATTCAAATACTTACAATCAAAGTTATTAATATTGTACCAAATTTTTTATTTTTTTAAAAAATAATATATATCGGTATCAATTATTTTAGTATATTAATTTAAATTTTTTGATTTAATACAAATATATTTATAAATATGCATGAACTTATACATTATAATATTATTAATAAACCACGAAATAAATATATAGTATATTCAAATTAAATAAATAAATTTAAAAACATAAAAAATAATATCATAAAATTTTCATGATATTTTTAAATTTAATCTGACCATATGATATTTAAATAAGTATTTTTTCATATAAATATTAAGATAAAAACAAAGAGATGAAAAAATTAATTAAAACTTTATGATTGTTAAATTTTATAAAAACAGTATAATTTTTTTTTTAAAAAAAATTTGAAATACTTATAATTTTTTTTTTGAAAAAATAAAATATAAAATCATAAACTTTGTTTGAAAAAATAAAGTATAAAAAAATAAAAAAAATTCAACTTTTAAATATTATTTTATCAATTAATTTTATTTTTATTTGATTAAAAATAGTTAAATAACAAAAAATAAGTTAAAAATTATAAAAATATATTTTATATTCATGTACCAATCAAAACATACTATTTAACTTAACTTTACTGAAACAGGTCAAAACTAATGAAAATAATAAATATTATCTGATATTAATTTTGGTAAAAAAAATCATCTTTAAATATATTGTATTTTGGTATAATTAGAGTATACTAGTTGGTGTGATCAGTAATAAAATGAAATTAATAACTATAGTTATAACTCATTTTTTTAATCTAAATTATGATATATTTTAAAAAAATGTAAAATAACCTTTGTAGCAATGAGAAAACTATGGTAATATAGTAATTTTTTCACTAGCATTGATGGTATAATACAACAGGAACTATAAAAAGACTCAAATAATTCTGTGATTTTGAAAAGCAAACTCAATAATTAAGGGTCCATTTGCATTAACAATTAAATTAATTTTAATAAAATTGAAACTAATGATTTATGGAGAGATTAATTTTTATAGTGTTAAGATTAAGAATAATTATTGTGATATATATTTAGATGTAAATATAATAATAATAATAAAATTTAATACTATAATGAGTAATTTTTTAAAAAAATAATTATTGTAATTAAAAATATTTTTATATTTTTATTTTACGTTTAAAGTAATTGACTGCCTTAAATAAAATAATTGACTATCCAAAGATCGAATGAACCATTATACCCTTCTACAAACTGGAGGGACGACGTGCACTCCATGATTTAATTGGAGCCAAAAACTCCAGTGTTATAGAATCCAAGCTTCAAATTAAGAGTATTTTGACTATCATTATCAATGTCTTTATTTTTTCTGATTCCAGTAGCAGATTTGGTTGGACTAGGACATAAATACTACTAAAGATTAAAAAAAAAATTTTTTTAGCAAATTGCTTTCATAATCTATACCTATATTAGCATTAAGTTTTATAAAAAATTAAAATTTAAATTGTAACAAAATTTGCAATAGATGCTGTACTGAACAATTTTTGTTCTTAATAAGATAGCCATTTTTGTGAAAAGAGGATTTGAATGTAACTCATCGAGGTGGAGATAAAAACCATTTATGATTGCATCAAATGCTTAACTCCTATACTTACAAATTTAAATGCAAATCTACTTTACAGCTCTAAATACAAAATTTCTTCAAATAAAAAAAAAAAAGGCATCTAATTAAATCTGTGAGACTGTTTTTTTAACTAAAAGTAAGGGAATATGACAGGAAAGCTACAGACAAACAAACTGAGAGCTTCTGTTTTAGGCATCGTAGGTAGATAAATGGGCAACATTGTCGCTGATATCGAACATAAAACATGCAAATCATCATTTGACTGACCCCACTCGATTCGTGGAAATGGACGGTGTAGATTACCCCCGTACATCAAGTTTTGTTTTGTGGTGGACATGTGATCATTTCGATAGCTTTTGAGCTGGATAAACTGTCTGTTGTTGGCGACTTGGCGTTGTACGGTTGATGACGCGGCATTTGACTAGTTAAAAAAAAAAAGAAAAAGTTTCACAATTATGCTCTCGTTGAGAGTCGAACTCAAGACCTCCCGCTTACTAAACGGGTGCTCTAACCATCTGAGCTACGAGAGCTTGTTGAGTGGTTCTAGAATATTTTTATATATATTCTATATAATATCTGATTTTTTGGGAGACCGATCGGTGGAATGGAATTTAGTCGGTCGAACACGTGTTGTCTGTTGATGCTGAAAAGAGGACATTTGTTTGTTAGGATGTCCATCTGTACCAGATCACATGCGAGCAGAAGCCCCATGGATAGGCAGACATTAAAACTGGGCTAACTTTCAAGTGCCACGTTTCTGCCCCTTCGGCCACCTTGAGGGATACTACTGTTTCAATGGGATTACACTTCACATGTTCAATTGCTCTGATATAGTCATGGATAATTGGACATGGAATTCTGGATGTCAGACACAATTTAAAAGGAGAAACTGCCCTTTTTCACGTTGGAAATGATTCTTTTTGGGCAGCTCTAATATAAATCTCTCAAGTAAAAGCTTAAAAGGGTTGTCTAGTAACTAATCCTTTCATGTATTCTCTGAAGCTATGTTTTTGTATAATTATTTTGATTGCATTTAACGTAATTATCGACAATTGTGTTTCTAAAACCAATTTAGTCCATTATTCCATTTTAGATATAGTTTTGTCTCGTTTACTTTCATGTTAATGTTCATTAGGTATAATATTATAGACACTGAATTTTATTCGAGTCTACAATTTTCAATCTTTAGTTTAATAATAATAATAATAATAATAATAATATTGATTTAATTAGTATAAAAAAATAAAAATAAAAGTGATAATTGATAAAAAAAAAATCATGATAGCAGTAGTGTCTTACATGCCATCATTGCCACCTACCCTATCACCACCATCACTAATCTCATCAGAGCTCATGCACCTCACTTGTCTCAATTGCTCGAAACCATCAATTTTATCTTGCCATCACATCCATATCTCGCCAGACATGCACTATTGGTTATCACTATTTTCAGCCTTATAAAACCCCCAACGTTTCCCCTTTCAGCCTCTCTCGGACACCCCCTCTCAGCCTCTCTTGGATACCCTTTCTCAAAAATCTTCGGACAGATCTTCGAAACCTCTAGACATATTGCCATTAGCATCTTCTCGTTTCGAGCTCAAACACCAAGTCAAACATCTCCCCTCAACAACCCTAAACAAAACTCATACTAATCATAAAAGAAAAAAAAAAAACAAAACACAATCCTCCCCGTAAGGAGGAACCCAGCGTCGAGCTACCTGCAAAAGCAAAAAATATATATCAGTCTCATTTCAAAAAAAAAAAGGTAGAAAACTTTAAGCACCGATCTACGACGATCGGAGTTATTTTTGACAAAACGGATGTTGGATCTGAAAAAAGGGCATTGAGGTCAACGTTTGGGAGTATTTTTGGTATTTTTCGACAACCGACGACCACCGTCAACGATCGCCGATGGTGACCTAGGCGGCGACAGACGTCGGATTCTGGCCGAAGCCAGAGAGGATTTTTTTAGCGAGAAATCTTTTTTTTTTTTTAGAAAAGGGTGAAATGAATTAAAAAAAATTGACTTTTATAGAAAACATAGGAGCAAAACGACGTCGTTTTGAGCATATGACCAAAATGACGCTGTTTCAAGCATAAGAGGATCCGCGCGTGAACCAAACCTGACCCGAGATCCGTGCAAACCGACCCATCAACCCGCCTCAGTCACCCTTCAGTTGGTTTGGACGAACCGCAGTGAACCGATCCAACTAAACCTGACTGAACCGCTCCTCAACCGACTCAACCGAACCGTACGTCAAACTAAACCCTTTTCAGTCCAATCGAACCGCCGTTAACCAGACCGTTGATCGGTCCGATTTAGGTAAAAAAAAATTTTTTTTTTATTTTTTTATATATTATTATTTTTGTTATTTTGAGTATTTTTTATGTTTATGTATGATGAATTTTTAAATTTGTTAGGATAAATATTTAATTATTTTAATAATAATAAAAATAAAAACAAGTAAGACAATAATTAAAAATATATATTAAAAATGCTTTAAAATAATAATAATAAAAAAATATTTTTTTTATTTTTTCTGCTTAGATGTTAGAAGGAATAAAACATATTCCTAAAAATAATTTCACCTAGATGTTGAAAAATTATTATTAATAAATTTTCATAAAATATATATATAAGAAATTTTTGATTAATTTTAAAAAATCGCTAAAATTGAACTTGCTCCAAAAATCCACCTAGATGTTGGAGATTTTTAAAAATGTTTTGTATTTTCTTAAAAAGGAAACCTTAAACACTAATTCTTAAATTCAAACTCCTAAAATCTAAACCCCAAAAATTCAAAACTCCTAAAATCCAAACCCCAAACCTCAAATTTTAAAAATTAAAACCCTAAAAATGAAACTCTAAATTTTTCAAACCCTAAAATTAAACATTAAAACTTCCAAACCCTCAAATCCAAAACCTTAAAATAAAAACCCTAAAAACGAAACTCTAAATTTCTCAAACCCTAAAATTAAACCTTAAACCTCTTAACCTTAAAAATGAAACCTCAAACCTTCCAAACCCTAAAATTAAAAACTTCACCTTTCAAACCCTACAATCAAAACCCCAAACCTCTAAGCTCTAAAATCAAAACTTCAAACCTTCAAACCCTAAAATTAAACCGTAAATCCTCTAAACCCTAAAACCAAAACTTCAAATCTCAAACCCTAAAATCAAAATCCCAAATCTCAAACCCTAAAATCAAAAACCTAAACCCCAAAATCTGAAACTTGAAACCCTAACCCTAAAATCCTAAATCCTAAACCTTAAAATCCAAAATTTTGAAAATCCCAAATTTGGTACAAAAACCCAAATAATTACCTGAAACTCACCAAATCTTTAAAACCTCGACCCATACCCAAGTTTAAAACCATTCTGAAACTTTAAAGATATGTGCGAAAATCTCAAATGGAATAATTTATTCTCGAATGTCGCCTAGATGATGGAGTTTTTAAGAAACTTTATTCCATTAAGTTTTTCTTGCAAGTCTTTAATGAACTTTAATAATGAATCGAAAAATTCAATAAATAAAAAGTATAATAACATAAAATGGGATCTTAAATATGAACAGTCGCATCTAAACTCCGCCTAGAAGTTGGAGAGTTAAGATGGTCTCATTATATTTAAGAATCTAATTTCAAATTTGCATTTAATTATACATAGCACCTATTAGCTTACATGCATTTATTTGCTATTGTTTGCACTCATTTTGTATATTTGTTAGTTACCTGATAGTATCATCCTTTATTTTTTTTTCGCACAAAATGTTTTTTTATTTACTTGTTTTTAAAAATATGCAATTTTAAAACAAAATAAAAATAACATTCCGAATGAAATAATTCTTGGTACTCTGCCTAGATGTTGGAGAGTCACCAACAATTTTCTATAAAGAGTGTTATTTTATTTTAAGGATTGCTGTATTAAATCTGAAGTAAAAATAGTTATTTTAAATTTTGCTTAGATGTTAGAAAATTTTAATATAATTCTTTAACTTAAAGATTTTCTCAATATTTATAAATAAAAATTTTAGCAAAAATAATTTTTTAAACGAAAGAAATTAATATTAAATTTCAAGTCAAAACTATTTTATCCAATTTTGAAAATAATGCATGATTAAATGATACTAATTTATGGGCATTGTGAGGGTGCTGATCATTCCTCACACGTAACCGACTCCCGAACCCAACCTAATTTTCGTAGATTAAAATTTATCTTTTTGATAAACTTTAAACCCGCTTTTACAGTTTTATTAAAAAAATAAACTTTTGGGTGATGAATTACACCCTAACAAAGATTGGTGACGATTCCCTTTTATTTTTTTCGATTTTAAAACACTTTACGTCTGACTGTCCCAAAACTGTTACGACAAATATGAATCGTAGTTTGTAAATGTTGAAATTGAAATGTGACCTGTTAAATGATATTTATTAAAAATAATTATAAAATCAATTAAATTAAAATTTAATTTTTACTTTCATGTTAATGTTGAGTAAATCTTGTGTTAAAATGATTGATTCACTATCGTATTACTCCAAAGTCTGAACAGTTACTATATCAAAAGCAAGGTTTCCCGCTCACAAATCGTTACTCATACAGTGACATTCATATCAATAACTTTGTCAACTTCAAATGCATGCATGTTCGACAGAATTCAGCTTGATTTTAGAAAGTTTTGATAAGACAAAAACAAAAAAGTTGAGGCCCAATATTTTGCATAGGTAACTAGGCAAGTTCAGCTTGACGGTCCAGTCCTTAAGGCCTAAAATGTTGCATACAGCTTCAACTAAGTTTGGTTTATTGAAGGGCCAGGCTCTTGATGGGTTGTCACAATTTGGTGTCTGTTTACAAATCATGTCTTTAATTGAAGGCTGAAGCTTGAATTTGGGAGAGAGCAAAGGCAATTGTTTATCCATAGAATTACACCAACCTCTCAAGATGAACTGCCCTTACCCAAATTGCTCCACAGTCTGAATAGCCCTACTATAAATGCTTAGAATTATTATCGCTAGCATATGGTAATGAAGGGATTACCCTAAAATGGTAATAGCATTAAAGCATTAGAGGTTACAATAAGTAATCAGCTATCCTCCTCAATGAAAGAACAGAATGGTTAGTACAATTGCAATCAAAGCAAGGAAAAGGATGCTCTCTATCTTTGAATTCACAAGCTTTATCCATGATTAGTTGCCAAAAATCAAGGTTACCTAACTGCTAGATCATAAAATATAAGTTTGACAAGACAAAAAGGTGCACAAACAGGAGAATGAAAAACGTCTTACATGAACAATGTTCTCAAGTAGTTAGGTGCCAAACCATAATTATTTGTGGTAATTATATATGGCCCATGACATCGATTTCCATCTTCACAGAATTCATAACCTATCTCTTGTTTGAGTGTTCGCTGTTCTGCTATCTTCCTAGTCACCATTTTATTTATTGCATGCAGTCTTTATACTATTGCAGAAACCTCAGAAATCAACTGGACATGCCATGTATATGATTTTAAGGACAGTTGAAGTAACTTGTTATGGCTAGATTCATATCCAGTAAGCATATGAAAACTGCTACCTGTAAACAACATTTTCTATTTTGCATATTTTGCCAATCTTTGTTGATTTGTTAATTTCCTAGTCAGGGGTGACTTGAAATCATCGTCTGATAAGGACCAGTCACCAATCTAATCCATTATGGTTTGGGTGTCATGAGCTGGGCAACCCCCGCAAAGAAAAAAAAAAACCCAAAATTGGATCATTTCATTTTCTCATGTCATTGCCAACTTTCTTTTAGCAGTAGACAGCTTTAATTCTCCAGCTTTTTCCTTTTGGACAGAATAGCATGCTCAAAATCAAACCCCGAGGGTTACCTATCAGCATAAAAGTTGATGTTTCTTACACTTCTGGAATCTCATTTTCTAATATTTAGCAAATCTTGCAGTGAAGTATTGCATTTTCATAATTGAAAATAAACGGTGAAAGATGGGAAAGTAAGTTCAAAAAGGATTATTATCCCCATAAATGAACTAGTTTTGGTAAAGGAGATCTGCCCCAACTTAGGACTTGATTGCCCAACAAGCAATTCTTACAGCCTATTATTTTATTAGTGAAAGTGAAAAGGAAGGAAAACCCATGGGGCATTTGGTGTTTTACCATTAAAAGGCCAAAAATTTTCCATCTTTTTTACCTTTTTTCATGATTAAAAAAGTGGAATTGATGGATGTTTTGTCCTCAAAGTAGCGCACATGGGACATCAAAATATTATTACATATTATAAGATTAACTTACATTAGTGCTAAAAATCTAGCAAAAAAGTAACAACAACAACAAAGAAAGAAAGCACATATTGTTGGAGTTATTAAATAAAAGTAAGATGCTCATAAACATGATTTATATTCCTAATCACTACTAATTGGCTTTGTCCTTAATCACATCCATCCCCATCTCAGTTGGGTCCGTTGCTTGAACTTCATAGTGGATGCCATCTAGCACTCTCCTCAGCCCATCTTTGGATGTTGCGTACAGCATTTTTGCTCTGATTCTTGATGCCGTTGGGGACCTATTGGACCATCAGATTTAAATCCATGGAAATTTGTTCTTGGATTAGTAAATAAGATAAACTAAAAAGGTCGAGTGTTAATTTGGTGAATGATGATCAATCTCACTTGCATTTTGACTAAGCTATCAAATCATACTATATGTTATTATTAGAAATAAAATATAATCCTAAGGCATAGAGATGCTTAGATTCCAATTTATGAAATGTACCCAATTAATGTTCCCTCCCCCTCCAAAAAAAAAACAAATCAAAATCTCAATTATTTACGTATTATTAACCCACTAGATAAAATAATATGCTAATTAATTTTTTATACAAAAAATATCACAATTTGAAAATAATTTTTTTAAATACTAAAATTTAAATAAAAATTTATTCATATATTTAAAGGTGATTATATAAATCAATTAAATTAAATTTATATTCAATACATTATATAGCATTTTACCCTTGTATAAATAATTAAGTGCCTATGTTAGAAGGGACAAAATGGACAATTCGAAAGGTACTATACGATTTGAATTCTAGTATATATAACGAAGTAGAAAGAGCGACGGACCATGCAATGAAGAAGATCTTGCTTTTCCGGCAATTATCAACGGTGACGAAATCAAAATCAAACACAGCATATCGGCAATCATCGGTAGGCAATGAAGCAGCAAGATCATCGTAGCTTTCGCCTGGGCCGCCGACCTTATCGACGGTCACCAGCCTTGATTTCTCATCAATCTTGAACACTATATATCTATGCACTTTCTTCCATTTCATCTCCATGAATAAGGTCTTACACTCATCAGTGACCCACATCCCAGTCGTAGCCTGTACAGTATCATACACCCAAACACACTGAATTATTATGGATGATTACAGGTAAAATGACATTAATTAAAAAAAGAAAAGAAATGGGATGTACCATCTTGAAAGCCATAGCCATTGTTGTTGAATTGTTTGAGTTAGCTCAATCTTTGTCTTCTCTTTGTTGCTGACACTTGAAACTGAAGGTTGTAATGGACTTTATATAATGAAAAAGTTTTGGAAATGCCACTAAAGTTCACTAATAATTACAATTGTAACCCTACTAGATATGTTCTGTCGAGGGAATAGCTTTGTTTGGGAAAAACAGTAATGTAATTTATTAATATTATCGAACTCAGTTTATGAAAAATATAATTGATATTTATGAAGGATGTTAAAGTGTCATAAAACCATTAACAAAATTTACTAATATTTAATTAAACACTAATTATAGATTTGTTTATTATCATAAATAAGTTTAATTCAATTTTATGATATAATTTATTTATTAATTTCTTTTATCAAAGTACTAAACCTGAATTATATGAAAATTTGTACTTGAAAGTAAAAGGTAAGAACAAAAAACGTGATAGTGACAAATATATAACTAGCAATTTAGAATTATATTAGTGTCGTACTTAATTATTTAGTCTAATGAAAGGCTTATTAATTTGGTTAGAAAGAGAAATTTTCAATAAATATAAAAAAATTTTAAAATCTAATTTAATTAATTTATACGATCATTTAAAAAAATTAATATTTAATAAATTTAAAATTTAAAAATCAAAATTTATAATTATTTTCTCTATTTTTACTAAAAAATTATGATTTATTTTATTTTTAAGATTTTAATTTATTTTTAATTTTTATCTAATTACATATTTGATTTAAAAAATATTACGCATTTAAATTTTTTTGAATTCGTAACTTTCAAATGTAAATTTTAAATAATATATCAATTAATGTAAGATATAATTGATATTATAAATTATTTCATTAATGACAAATCATAAGAGACTTATAAAAAAAAAAATTAGAAAACTTCCGGAGCCCATTAATTTGAGCAATAAATTTGAACCATCTTCTCGGTCAATGAATGAAGAGAGTTGGTTTCCTACTTTATTTTCTTTTTCTAGTTATTTTCGCCTTCCTAATAAAGCGAACCGGATAAGTTTGAATTTTTCACGGAGAGGAAAATTTTATAATTTTTATTTCTTAACAGAAGTAATTTTAAATTTATTTACTTAAATGTGATGTTTTATATCATGTCAATATTATATTAATATTGTATTATATTCTTTAAATAATTATTTATATTTTAAAATAAAATTTTTAAAAATTAAAACACTGTTTATTTTACTAAACAATCATCTTTTAAAGCAACTAACATTATTTTTTTTCTCAATTATGAAATCTAGCTGCTTAACTTTTGATGACTTTTTAAAATTCAATTATACAATGATGTGCAGCTGTCCCTAACTTTTCATCAAATATTTTGCCTAGGCCATATGGTAAAACTAAAACCACTGTCACTCCTTTTTTTTTTTTAATTAAATTTGATAATTTGTATTATTATATCATATAAAATATTATATTTATATTATATTTTATATAAAAATAATTTATTACAATTTGTGTTGTCAACACGAAATCATAAAATATAATTTTTTAATTTTATTAAATTTATTTATAATTTTTTTAAAATTTTAAATAGTAATATTTTTATATCATTTATTCGTATTATTTTTATATTGTATCATTATATTATATTTTAAATTGTCAGATTTACTTCTAACTCAAACTTCCTAAATTAAAACTAAAAAATTTTCAAACTAAAACTGGTGGATGTTTGGTTTTAGCTTAATTTTTTTGGCCTATAAATTTAGCTTGATTAATTAATTAATTAATGTGTTATTTAAATCTTTGTTTCTGACATAATTATCAATTAATTTGCAGATTTCAGTTAAGTAAATTATTTTCAAAAAAATTTGCTAATAAATTACACTGTTCAGTAACTTCTTTTCTGGTTCAATTTACCCTATCTCCTGTTCCTAAAGTAAATTTACCAATGCTAAACAAATCACCATTATTGAATCATTAAAAACTAGGACCCCAAGTCAAAAACAGATTAAAATACCACTCCAGTTGCTTTAATGAGGTGTGTAAATCAGTCAAAAAACCACAATTTATGAACATATATGTTACAATGGGTAAGATGCATAAAACAATTCAGTGGGCTGCAAAGAGCATGTTGATGCAACCTTTATCATTCATCAAGTTTAACAAGGTACCAATTCAACGTATGGACACTGGAACAGAAAGGGAAATTACAAAAGTTGCTTTTGTTTATATTGAAAATGCATGTTCTTTTGAGTTTCAAGAGAATTTTCTTAAAATTTGATGATTCTAAAACTGAGAAAAGTCTGGTTATAAATGAAAACACAGCCTATGTAGAAAAATACGGTGGTCCCATCTCGGATAGCACACCCACAAATCCCCATTTCTCTATCTTCGTGTTCCTCAAAAGGGTTCTTTGCGTGAAAGCAAAGGTGAATAAAAACCCACAGTGAAGAAGAATGAAGACAAAGTTAAAACTAGAAGGTTAAAAGAAATGAATGTTAAAAAAAGGCGTTTTCTTGATATAAATGAATCCATGATCCATGCCATTGCCATGCATGTACCTCCAATCACCGCCCCTGCCCCCTCCAACTTGGTTTATCATTACTTTGTTTTTATATTCATGAACAGAATTTTAGCACCTACCATTCCAAGATTTCATATCCCTAGGCTCGAGTTCTTCCACAAACTTGTCTAAAGAATGTGTAGGTGACTGTGGCAACAACCCAACAATCATTTTTCATAAAATAGTGTTGCCATTTGCTAATGGCAAGAGATAAAGATGATTGATACGAGTTTGTATGTAGTACAAACGCTAACACCCAGAAGAGTTTTTTGCAAGGGAAGAAATGGACGAGGATGGGGAGACATAACCTTCTGTGGGTGGGTCTCCACTGTGGAAAACTGAAACTATTTTAATTAGGCCCACGACAGGTGTCCTATCGACAACCTTTTCTAACGTGTCAAACTCTGATTAAACGTGTATGAGGTGATGGCTAGTTTTTAGTGGTGGGTTTTGTGGAATGGCTTGTTTTGGGAGGGGTCGACCCCACGAATCTCGCCGTTTGTGACCAGCTCCTTCTTAATGGAATTACTTCCATTTGATGGTGCAGCTTAATCTACCTCAAAACTACTCAGAAAAATGCTGGCTGCTTTGCTTTATAGCCACTCTTGAAAAGAAACGATGGCCCAGCTAAGTGGACTAGACTATCTCAAGGGAGTTACGGATGACTAAGCAGTTGGCATTGGCAAGACTCTTTTCTCGGATATGTTTTGAGAGTTTGGACCTGAATCAAATTTTAACTAAACCGAGGACCAGAAATGTTGATCATCCATCTTCAAAACGGTTCTTTTACTAATGTTGCAAATTCTGATGGATGATTGGAACCAGCTTTCCCATAAATAAAATGCATCAGCTCTTCTTGCGTTTTTCCAGGAAGCTCCCGTTTGTCTCATGAGCACCTGGCACCTCGTGCAACAAGCTCTAACAGCTGCACATTTCGCATGGAGCCAGAAAGGTAAAAACCTTTTAATTTTTTCTGGCCCACCGTCAGATCTTTCACGAACCATTTTCAAATCCAAAAGATGCTGTTAGGCTTGCCTCTTCAAAGTTGAAATGGAGCAAATAGGGGTTATGAACAGTTGGGCCCTAGAAATTTGAGTGATGCAATATCCGTCTTCATATTGAAACGTATATTAAGGCAAGTCAGATCGGAAAAATTGGAATTGGTCATCAAACACCAACAAATCCTACTTTTCCCTTTGAATCAAATAAAAGTTGAGACATGAGTGTTAACACCTTAATCCCATAGTCATATGAATCGATAGATCTTCAAGCGCTTTAGAACAGAAAAGAAAATGTTCAACTGAGTCCACAGCACAGTTTCGACAAACTCCGCTAGTGTGTTTTGTGTCGGGAGAAACAGAAATCTCAGTTACAAATCGGCTGACACATCAACCACCATAGAAAAGTAGAATAGGATTCCGCACTTTTAACTCTTGCCTTCAGCTGCAGTCTAATAGCTCTTCACTTGTCATCTTTTGGCTGCTCATCTTCATTCTTCTTTTCTTGCGACTGCTAGCAAGCAAAAATTACAACATATCAGTAACTACTAAAGTACCAATCTAAAATGCCACTTCCACAAAGCAGATTTTTTTGGAGTAGTTTTAGAAAAAGTGAGATATTCATTCAGCTATTATTAATAGGTAAACATTTAATGCGTGTGTGGTAGAAACGTCACAATGAACAGAAAACTGAGTTTGAAGCTCATGTTAGGTCATGCTAAATTTAATGAAACACACCTCGGATTGGCCTGGCAAAGATGCTAGTAAATCTTTCACATTTGGATCATTTGGGTCAACTCCTGGAAGCTGTAAAAGCCATAACACATCAGAATGCAGGTAACTAAAGAAGAAATGATTCTGGGTTTAAAAAAGCCATATTTAACTAGACTTACCGATGAAAGGATGGATGACATAAAAGACTGATCTCCCAACACCTTGCTGACATCTGATTGTGCCGATGAATCTTTTGAACTGTCCTGCATGGACATCTGAAGTGCTGCATGCAAGAAACGAGACCATTTTGTTTTAGTTTAGAAGTAGATGATATTGATGCATGCATTTGGCTAAATTTATACATCTAAAAGTAGGACTTTGGAGCCAAGCATCTTAAACCAGTAAAAATTCCAATGAAAACCAATATATCGCAAAACCTTGACACACTCAACTGTATATACATTAAGATAGCTGCAAGCCGTAAGGAATCTGTAACTATTAGTCTATTACCCTTATATTAAAGCTAAAAGATTGTGTTAAGCATATGAACTAAACCTAGTATGGTAGGATTTGATTGGTAGGATTTAGCAAGATATACATATTGTGGACTAGCCAGGACCAATATAGACACTGCACTCTCTTGGACCATCTATGTGAAACAGAATCTGTGGAAGCGTTTGTAATTCTTCAGAAACAAAACAATTAGTAGATCATTTTCTCCTTAGAAAGGAAAGGTGATCAAGTAGCTTGATGCAGCATACACCCTGATATATTAAGACATCCAACAAATAACAGGACATACCCAAGGCCAATTCCTGATCGTCATTAGTTGCCTCAGACATCTCAGCATCACCTATAGAAGAATCAGACCCTGGGATATTCATTGACAATGCAAGGGCCTGCTTTAGCAAAGCATCATCCTCATCCTGCCACAAACATCAGTTAGCCAAAGTCAATTTGAAACTTAAGTTGTACTATCCAATGTTGACAGAATAATTTGTGGAATGGTATCATATATTGACTTCAAAGTAATACATACCATTGGATCAGCAACTTTTTCAGTTGTAGTTGTAGTTGTAGTTGCAGCCTGTGAGTCAGACAGTGGTGGCTCTTCCTCTCCTTTTTCTTGTCTAGTGGCTTCCTCAGCAGCCCTCTTGGCAGCAGCTTCTTGCCTTGCTCTCTCCTCTTCCATGGAAACCCTTAGGGCAAGAGCCAGCTCTGGATCTATATTTGGATCCACGCCAAAATCAAAGTCAGAAGTACCACCTACTGCAGCTGCTGCTGCAGCAGCAGCGGCAAAGCCACTTCCTCCTTCCCCATCCCCAGTGAACACAGGGGAGCTGGCATATGGATATACAATCACTATTAAGTAAGCAATATAGCCTAAGACACATGAGTTGATATCTTCTTACTCAAATGTGTATGTATATTCTTGAGAAGCGAAAAACTTGAAAACAAAGAATCAGAAGAAAACCTGATAAGCACATCAGAAAGTGCATTTTGACTGGGAGGAACATGAACTATGTGACTACTGTCATTATTATTAACAGATGCAAGAAGAGCCTCCAACTTTTCTGGCTTTCCATCTTCATCCTCACCAAAATCGACAATATCAAGAGCTACACTATTTTTTTTCAGCTTCTTCCCTATCATCTCCAATGCCTTCTTTTCATACTTAATAGGACTGAAAGCACAAAGCAAAAGAGGAAAAAAGTTACATCTGAATTGAAGTAAACAAGCAAAACTAAAGGCAAACACAATATACCTTCCAGCAAAAACTATAATCCTTTGCTGCTGATTTTTGTTTTGGCGATGCTTCAGAGCCAACTGAGCAATCTGAATTCCAGCTGCTAGGTTCATCTCACCCCCAATTTCAAGACCTGTGTAAAACATTAAAAAATATATATAAAGAAGATGATGAAGAGAGGGAAAGAGAAGAGGGGAAGGTAGATGACCTTCAATTCAGAAATACTTAAACAAAATATAAGAGATTAATCATTAATCAAGCTGCTTTGCATAAAACGACAAACTACACTAAATGTAACAGCCGAACTCCATTAGCAAGAACAAGTTCTCCATTTATAAAGTAAGCGCAAAAGATGCTCTTCTTTTACAAAGGTTTGCAAACATAAATCTTACATATATGGTAAAATTTGCTAGGGTTACGTACTCATATGATCCAAATAGTGAGCCATAAAACAAATCAAGCAGGTATTCTTCAACATACATGTCATGTCTTCTATTGAACACAACCACACAAATAAGTTTGCATTGAATTGTAATCTATTTTCCCAACAACAATATAGTAAAACTAAAACCACATAAAAATCCAACTTGCCTAACCTTTATCTTCCAGTATAACAGTAAGCTGGTAAATCAAAAGCAAGCACATTCTTTCACCATATGTAGTAGTTCAAAGAACCCACCTTTAACTAATGATCCTAACATAAATAAACTTAATCTCCGTATATAACTCAAAAGAAATTAACTTAGAGAGAGTAGGAAAATTAAAGTACCGTGCATGCAAGACAAGATTTTGCCGAGATCACTGGTAGGAGTAGCCAATACACGAACTCCTTTGCCTGCCATCGTCAAAATCCCCACTGTGTTCTCCGGATTAGACTGCCATTAATTTATTAAAGGAAATCAATTTCCCAATTCTCATTAAGAAAAAAACCCTAGCGTAATCACATTCATAAATAAACAAGATTAGCAGAATAGCTTAAGGTAAAGCAATAATTTTACCTGGGTTTTAGCTCCACAGATAAGACTAACGGCGTCAGCTTGGGCTTGAAATCGAGACGGAGAATAATCGCCGTTTCGCATCCATTCCGAGTTATCAATGCATATCATAGTCGCCTGATTGATCGATAAAAAAAACGCTCTGATTAAAATTTGAATCCGATAATTAATTTGAGGAAAGTAAAAGATGAAAAGAGTGCAGAAACTGATGGGTTCAAGAAGGAGATCAAGGAGCAATCTTATTGCAGTGCTTACCTCGAGAACCATGGTTTCGAAAGCGAAGACAGAACGGAAGTTGGCTTGGAAGAAAAGAAAACACCACAATTTCACCAACGATGGCTTTGTTGAATTGCTTTATTGTCGGTGATAAATTCTCGAGGGATTTTAATACGGGGAACTTTAAATTTCGCTTTTACCGATATGCCCCTCCTCGCTTCTTGCTCTATTTCTTTATATTTTCTCCGTATAATAATAACTTATATTTCTAATCCCTTATAATATTACGAGTTTATATATACGGTACATTATAATTTTACAAATTTTATATACTGCTAACAAATTAGATGAAATCAGTTCATTAATAAGTGAATTTTAACTTTTAAAATTAATATTTTTTAAAAAAATTATTTATTAATAAAATAAAATAATATTATTTATTTTATTAATAAAATAATATTATTCAGTATATAAAATTTATATATGGACGATGTATTAAATAAAAATCTTAATATTATTCGAGGTTAATATAAGTAACAAAAATAATTATATTTCGTATGATTCAATTTTCATTGTCAATAGTTTTCTTCCACAGAAGACGGGAAAGTCCAATGTAAATTATCGCAAAATCTTATGACATGTCATACTCTAAATTGGAATAATTTTTTCTCACCTAAACTTAATTGTATAAAAAATATTACTACAAAGGATGAGGGTACCAACAAATAGTCAAGGGCTAAAAAATTGAGCATGGTGTCATGAACTTAGCAGCCAATTTTGCTCCTAAAATTAAACCAACTTTTACCAAAATCACTCTACATCTTCACTCTTTAGCAGCCAATTTTATCTATGTATGCAAGTTAAAAAGAGTGAAAATACAAGTAAAATTAAATATAAAAGGTGATTTCCCTGTCAGTTAAAACAAATTAGCTCTTTATTGAACATGCTTCAAAAAAGTGTACAATGCAGCGATTGGGATTATGATTGTATGCACAATTTGCCAACAGGCAGTTAACAACATTCGTGCAGAAATCAAATGATAAATCAACAAGAACACATTATTTTGAAGTTACAAACTTACAGGGTATATCTATACACCAACTGTTCTAGAAGGAAAGGCTGATCTATTGTTCCTACTGATGGGTAAATGAACATAAACCTCGTGAACCTCCTGCTTGTACACTTCTCCTCTATCCCTATCGATTGCGTAGCAGATGTAAACAGTGTCAATCACATTGTCTAGCACATGGACAAAGAAACCCAGCACCACGATTAGCAGCACCCATGCAAGAACAGCAACGATGTATGCTTTAACCCCTAGATCACTAACACCCTGTAAGATAGCAAATGCCTGCGTATATGCCATTCAATTATCAGGTAATTTTCAGGTAATTCAAATTAAAGCAGGGGAAAAAGAATAACAGGCCCAGCAACTCATTGTATTTAATGATGAGAGACTCACCACAATTGCGTAAACAGATGAGAAGACAAAAATAATTCCTGCCAACAAACGAGTTGATACAGTCTCCACAAAAACAGCAGAGAGTAGGTTACGCCTTAGAAGCTCATATGTCATCCTTGCAGATGTGCAGTAAGCCTCACCAGTTATTGCTGCAAAGTTGATAGTGAACTTGTTAAGAAAGTCTATCGCAGACAGCAGCGCATTAACACAACAACGCAGGACAAGGTTGACAATTCCAGGAACATCTTCTTGTCTTGCACTATCAACAGCAGCACGCACCACTCGAACAGCACAAATAAGCAGTCCAGATAAACAGACAGTGCCAGAAGAAGGACCAAATGCATTTCTGCAAGTGTTTAGAACCAAAACAGTAGAAAGATTAACATGTTATAATTAACGAGTGACAATTTGCTAGTCAGAAAACTAACTGTTTAAAAATCAACAGTGACAAATGATGCCTTATAAGGATGTCTGGTTTGACTTTCAGTATTGCAGATATTTCATTAAGATATCCCTCATAAATTATCTTATCAACATATAATACTCGTTAAATCATTGGACAATATGGTTCAAGAAGTTAAACATGCTGCCTATTGGACAAAAGCTACCTAGTTTCAATCGAAAAAGGAACTAATAGACAGCAATTCAATCATTCTAGAAAATAAGTTAACATGCTGTCTTTTGACATGGCAACTTCAGCAACGAACCTAGAGAAGTAGCCCTCTTTTCATGCCAATCTAACACACTATAGAGATGCAAAAAGGAACTAGATGAGTTTTATGTATCACAGAAAACATAACAAAGAAACACCAGTGGAGAAGCAAGCTCTCCAAGAGATCGTTAGACACCAGATCATCATTACATTCTTCAGTTCATGCTAGTAAATATAAAAACAATGTCAAGTTGAATCCATAAATCAAAACCAAAGTGAATTTCCAGGACTTTGATCTTCAATAGTAAGTACAAACTCTTTACTAGAATACATCAGTGCCGCTTAAAACCATATCTAAATCTATGTTATCAACTATGTATCATTACTATTATCCTAAGCTGATCACCGGGATCATAATCTTGATAATTAATCAATACAATCTGGTACTGATACTTTATGCATGTCTCCAAAGCAGCCAATCAGAAGCAACAAAAAAAAAAAATGCAGTTCAAGCTTAATTTCAGCTACCCTCATAGAAAAGTAGAGACCATCTATATTAATAAATTAAAATGCATGGATCATTATGTAGAAAAACCGAAAACAGTAGCAAGTCACCTCAAAGAACTTCTTATACTCCGCTTAGGTTTCGTATCATCCTTGGAGAAGTACCACTGTGCAATGGTGCCACAGATCACATAAACCTGAGCTTCCACCATTGTAGTCAAAGACCACAACATTGTCAAAATCGCCAATGTATAATAAGCAGGCACCCAGCTATCCTGTTTCCAAACACAAGTAAACTCCCCATTCGATTCTTTAGCCACAATTTTCCCATTAAACCTAGCAAACACCAAGAACAAAACAATTGGCGCATAATAAACCACCAATCCAAGGGTCAACAATGGTATCACCAAAAACAATCCTAAATTCCGCGAGAGCGCATCAGAAGCAACCCCAATAATCCTCACAGTCAACTCGATTCGATGCCAGTTAGCCACAATGATCCAAACAATAATCCCAACTATCAATAAAACAAAAACAAGCACCAAAATTCTATAGACCAAAGGGAAAGAATCACTACAAGAGGAGCTCAAAGTACAAGCAACGAACCAATAAACATCAAAGAAAACCGGCATGATTATAAAGAAAGGAAGCAAAACATAAACGATCTGCTTTGTGTAACGTTTGAGTAATAAAAGCAAAAGAAAACAAATTGGTACACTTAAAACTAAAGTTATGACAAGGGTCCATATTAAACTTGTCCAAAGGCTGGAACTCGACAACGAAAAAAGTGATCTTTCAAAAACCCAACTTGGATTAGATAAAAAAGAAGAGTCTTGAACGCAAGAAGTGGAATTAGAATCGTAGGTGAAGCTCGAGACGTTGGAGTAGTTGGCGTTTCGATGGACAATTGAGAAAATACCAAAAGCGAAAGTGCAGAGGACTAAGAGAAGGAAGAGGATGAGGAAAGGAAGGTCTTTGAAAGGTCTGGGTCCGTAATTGAAAGAGATCTGGAGGAATTGGGTGAGGTCGTGTTCAGAGGGGTCGGGTTGAACTGATTCTTCGATTGAAGGAGATGGGTAAGTGGAGCTGGTCGTGGGTTTGAAGAGGAGAGGTTCGGTTGGCAAAGCGGCGTCGTTTACGGGTTTGGAGGTGGTTTCTTCTTCTGTGCTGCCCATTGCAGCGACGACTCAAAGAGAGAGAAAATGTCTGCAAACAAAGAGTACTCTGCTTTGATTTGATTTGATACAGAGAACCTTAAGACTTTTTTTTGTTTTTCTTTTCTGGATTTAATTTTTAATTGTTTTTTGGTTTTTTTTTTTCCTAATTTTGACTGTTGGTTCAGTGAAACCAAATGAGAGTCGGGAACGAAGATCAGTGGGTTTGGTTATGGTGGTATCAAGAAGATATGAATGCCACGTGGGAATTGTTCATATCTCCGAAAAGAAAATTCTTTAAAATAATTAATTTTGATTAAAGGTCTTTTTCCTTTTTTTTTTATTTTCAGAGATTACGATAAATTTCATCTGATGGTAATTAAATTCGACGTTACCCAAATGTTCAAATTCTTTTCATATGGTATTGGACTGATTTTGCCCATTTATAATGTGACTTTCTCATGTTGGTATTTCATGTCATAATGTTGGTATTTACTATCAAAACAATACATCTTTTGTGCATATTTATAAATTATTTATATTTTCCATATATTTTCTCTTTTTTTTTTAATTAAGAGCATTATCAGAATTTTTATAAAACAAAATTTGTTAAAGCGATCATAAAAATTATTCACATCAATACTATGCATTCGAAATTAAAAAAAAAAAAATTCTTCACTTACTAATTGAACTATGAATATAAACTAAATTGTGTAAAATACATTTAATTGTTGCCTACCTATTATTTACCAAGGCTACAAGGAAGAGAGAACAAACTAGTAATCCAATTAATCATGCCGTAAAATTATCATGCAAAGTAACAGATTTCTTTTGATAGAATCAAAATAATAGATTTAAATGTGTAATTTACAAAAAAAAAAAAAATACAAGAGAAAAAGATAAACACGAGTCCAAGAAAAAATCTGACGTTTTATATTAGCTTTGTCTTCGAAGGACTCATGGGAGGCAGCTGGCATCCAACCAGAGCAAAAATCAAGTAATTCGTGAGAGATGTACAGTTATTATAGCAAAAGAGAAAATTAAAGAAAAAGAAATCATTTAATTCTGCTTGATAAAACATTTTTATTTTTTTACTCTTATCAAATGAAAATTTTCAATCTTAATTAGCAACCTAAAAAAAAACAAAAAAAAAAAACCAAAATATAACATATACCTTCGTAAGAAGAAAATGAAATTGATAACGAAATATATAGTAAAATTTAAAAGTAAGAAATTCTTCAATAAACAAAAGTCTTTTAATTTTTCAAGAAATATTACCAATAATTTATAATTCAACTCCATAATAATATTATTAATAATATAACACAAAAGTTATTAGATAATAATACAAAACAATAACCTTATTTTATTTTTGAAAAAACCAGCCCAAACTTTTCTTTTTTAAAAGCACACATTGAATTCGGGTTTTCTTGTCATCCCTAAATTCTTGGATTAGAACTTAGCTTTAATGTTCAACCAAATTGGATTGAGCTCATGCACCAAACAAGAAACAATTTTGATCAATGACAATTAATTCAGTTCCCTTTTTGTAATTTTTGTTTTTTTACAAATTTTTTCAAGTATCAGTTTCTTGTATTAATTTCTCATTACATACATAATGGTACATGTATATGTATGTATAAGACAAAGAAACTGAATTAAAATGATGAGTAAAAAATTAGTATGGTAGAAGACAATCTGACTCAGCAGTGCAAGAGTTGAAGGAATAATCGATGAGAGTGGAGGTAGAGTAAGCAGCCAATTCCCACTGACGACAGGACATAAAGCAGCAACGAAATAATTGGTTAGAACAATACGTGCGACAGCAAAAGAAGTTTGAGGACGCCCTCTTATCTTGGTAGAGATGGCTGCCAAAGCTATAGCTACCAAAATATTTCCGAAGCTGATCAGATCAGTGAGAAAGTGAAGCAGCGTAACCGTCATCATGTAAACCATCCCAATAATGTCGGCATAGGGATGATAATTACCAATAGAGATTAAAGGAAATCCAAAACCGATTAATGGCAATAGGACCATCTGAAATTGAGAGAGCGCAAACGTAAAGTACATAATTAAGCAAATTCTTGGCTGTTGAAGTCTAAGGTTGGTATATTTTAATACTAAAGATTTAGTCTTTATACCATAATTGTTAAAAAAAAAAATCAATTTCTAAATTTCCATTAAATGCTAGATTAAGGATAATTAAACATTCAATCATTAAATTTGTTGACTCGACATCTATTTTGGTCAACTAACCATTATGTCTTAAATAGTTATTCTGATTGAGTGAGCATTTGAAGTGGATGCCACTTACCTGGAAATTGAAAGTGATGGCATTATTCTATCAACTAGAGAAAAATGAATTCAATGCTGTTCGTTTCATTACTTGCCTTTTTTTTTTTTTTTAACTTTACATAGTCATGCACTCAAATGACAAGGACTTGGGCATTTACCCATATCGATCTTGCAACTGTATGGTAATTATGGCGTTTTGGGGTTTTGTAAAACGTGTCTTTAACTATACATAACATTTATGAATGATTAACAAAAAAATGAAAGAGATAACAGAAACATGTGGCATCGTGGATAATAGACATGAATGTTAATGTAGTAGGACGGCTGAAAATGTATCTGCTAATGGCTGCTTCAAGAAACCGAGCGTATCCACATTTCATTAGCCTTGTGGAACAAGATGACGAGAAATGACTGCTTCGAGATAGAAAGTGGGGAAAGATAAGGATTAATTGCTTTATAGTCTGTGTATCTATTTCATTACAAACAATTTTGGAACCAAAAAATTGTGCCAACATATGCCTCCTTTGCAGGTTTTTGGGCTAACTAGACCAGAAATGGAATGGAGTATAGGCTGGATACCTTCTATGTCAACAAGGTATGAATCTGATAGAAGAGTAATGGTAGGGTTACTCGCTTCTATAGAAAAAAGTGTACTGAGCTGGAGGAACTTGAACTCGATACTAGCAGTCCAAACGTATTTTCAGTTGGCTGTAAGGGAATCCAATATTCTCATTGCTTCGAATCCTTGCTAATGGAATTACCAATGTAGGCAGAAACAGAGAGGACATGACTTAACACATTATATATGGCTGGGAATTGGGACATGTAGCGTAAATGAGAGGATTCAACAAGTGGGGACTGGGGAGGGAGAAGCTAGAAGGCCTTCGAGCACAAAAGGCATGCAAGATTCGTCTGGATGTGGTGAAGTTGACTTGCTGGCTACCTATGATTTTGGTGCAATGGCGCCCGACTTTTGACTCAAGGGGATGTGAACTCACGTGAATCAATTAATGCGATCTCCACAATTTAATATGCCATATATTGGATTAACGTAGTCACAGGAGAATCTAAAAAACAAAAAAAAAACCAAGTTCAAAAAAGAAAATTTAAGGGTAATGACTAGCGTTGGCAGGTTCAATTGCTTACTGCTATATCTGGAAATGGAGAATAATTATGTTGGAACAGAAGCAATAAATATAATAACATAAAAATAATATATCATAATAAATTTATAATAATACGTAATAATTAATAATTAACAACATAAAAAAATAAAGCATATCAATATTTATGTGAAAAATTTTTTAGTGTAGAGAAAAAAAATAATAGATCACAAGAAAAATTTTTACTATCAAATAATAGATATACAAAGTTCTTCTCTAACTAAAATTAGAGCCAATCAACAATTAAAGATACAATTGAAGAAATCTCATCAAATAAGTGACTCAATAAATACACATTGAATTTGTTCTTAAGGAGCTTTAAACTTAATTTTCACCGTTTAGAATGTAGACTCCGAATCATAAACCTACTAACAAAATTTCAGCTCAATTAGATCACAGATCAACTTTAGTTTAACCAACTCTTCCTTCTCTTTTTTCTCCTTATTTTTCCTGATTTTTCTTCTTTCTCTTGGTTTCGACGTCACAATATTCTATTTCTCTATTACACAGCCCCTTTTATTGTTTAAGGCTTTATATAAGTAAAGCTCTCTTAGGTCAAAAACAAAAAAAAAAAGGCTTTAGGCCTTTTAATTAACTAACACCAATGGAGCTGACCCCCACTCTTCCTAACAATCTCCCTCTCCAGCCCCATTAGGAGAAGATTCATCATTATAACAATTTTATTTGGAACTTACCTTGGCCAAGGAACCTATTTTAGCCATGTTACTGCAGAGCTCAAGCTTTTTCCTGAAAAGTATCTTAATCAATATATTTGCTATATTTTTATCAGTACAGACTTTTTTCAACAGCATATATTGTTTCTCAATCACCGAATGTAACCAGTGATATCTAACATCGATATGCTTCATTCTAGCATAGTACATGGCACTCTTATTCAAATATAAAGAACTTTGACTATCACAAAATATCATATACTCTTTCTAATTTAATCCCAATTCAAAAAGAAAATATTTCATCCAAAGCATTTCTTTACCTGCTTCGGTTGCTATAATATACTCAACCTTTGTAGTTGACATGGCAATACACTTATGTAACTTAGACTGTTAAGAAATAACTCTTCCTGCAAAAGTGAATAAATATCTTAAAGTAAATTTTCTACCATCAATATCACCTATTATATTAGCATCAGTAAATCTTTCTAGAACTGATTGTGAAACTCCATAACTCAAGCACATTTTTGAGGTGCCCTTCAAATATATGAAAATTCATTCCACTGCTTTTCAATGAACCTTTCCCAAATTAAAAAGAAATCTACTTACTACATCAACTGCATAAACAATATCAGGTCATGTACAAATAATAAAATACATTAAAAAATCGATTGCAGAAGAATAAGAAATACAAGGCATAGCTAATTGCTCTTTCTTAGTCACTAGACAAGATTTTTTACTTAGATGAAATGGTTGACAAGTAGACTGCTAACTGATTTAGCATATTGCATGTTGAATCTACTAAGCACCTATTCAACATATTTTTCTTGTAACTACCAGAGCTTTTCTGCTCTCTTATCCTAGATAATATCCATACTGATAATCTATTTTGCTGGACTTAAATCTTTATGTCAAAAGACTTAGATAATTGTTCTTTCAACCTACGAACCATACCAGTATCTTGTCCCACAATCAACATATCATTAACATATAATAAGAAAATAATGAAGTTACCATTAAAAAAATTTTTGACATACACACAAGGATTTGTCGTCATTTTTTTATAATTATAGCTCACTATAAAAGAATCAAACTTTTTATACCACTGTAATAGAGCTTGTTTCAAGCCATACAAGCTTTTTTTTTTAG